ACTTCAAAGGCACATTCACTAAAGCCACTGGCTGAATGAGAGCTAAAATGCATCGCCGGTAATTAACGAGAGCAGGAAAGGCAGAGGATCGCTTGCAATAAGCCAAACTTAACGATCAGCGCGATTATGGTTCAATGACGAACTGACTCGTGTCATTTCAAGCCGGCGTCTGTCATCCGACCAAACGGCTTAAATCGAATTAAAAACTGATATTATAAAAATACTAGATAAATTATAGTCTTTAATTATAAAATATCGATAAATTCATGCATTGTATATCGTAATTCACTTTATAAGCATTCGTTTATAATTATAACAATTAAATTTCATTTTCATTGCAGAATGCTAATTTAACAAAAGGACAATTCGAGAAAAGGAAAATATTTGACTTGAAATGAAATAAAATATTTTCATTAATTCCCTAAAACAATATCCAATTTTTTCAATTATTAAAATGTACCGATGAAGTTATTAATACACAACAATTTTCATATATCGAACTAAAAGGAAATGATTGTTTTTTTTATAAGTAATATATAAGTAAAATTTAAGAAAGCAGTGATTCACATCACAAACTAAAAAGTTTATTTAAGTACTTTTTGAAAACATACTTTTCATTTCCTTTAATTAAAAACAAAGAAAAAAACAGAAATACGGATCACTAAAAAATAGATCGAACATTATACTTTTATCTCTGGTCTTTCATTTTGTTTCTAGGTTGTTTCTAGGTTCCCTATGCAATTTCAAAAATTCTATTATCGTCTAACGCAATTAATATATACATCTTTTTAATTAAATTTTTTTTTTAATTTTATTAAATATATATATATATACATATATATATTTGTTGCAAGTTTTCGTCATTTTTTATATTAATAATGTTCAATTGAACTTATACCACATACGATGGACTAACAAATTTTAAAATGTATGCTGTTATCTTAATAAATGTAAACAAGTATTTATGTATCGATTGTTTTATTTGTACAACAGAATTGAAATTCAACAAGAATTCGAATCAAGTTGAAATTTGATCGATTTCTATTTAATCGTATTATCAAATTTCTAATAGTTTTTTAATCTAAACTTTATATTGAACAAATTATAATTTTCATATAATAATAATGAAAATAAATGCGTGCATTGGTTCCTATGGAACAAGAAAAAAATTGAATTAAATTGACAAAACGAATAAATATAAACCATATCATTATATAATTTTTCGTTATAATAAAAATTAAATTCAACTATTTTTAGTTGTACAATGACAACAACAACAACAACAACAACAACAACAACAACAACAACAACAAAATAAATAAATAGAATTAAATAAACCAAAAAATTAGGTTCAACATCATTTAATATTTTGTGAAGGAAATAAATAACAAATATCATAAACTATAATAGAACATATATTGTAAAGCATTATAGACTATAATGTCATTAAAAATTACGTATATGGTTATTAATAAAAATTTGAATATTCTTCATGAGTTTTTAGATAATAAGAATAATTGATAAAATATTTACTATAATGTGACGATAGTATATTCACTTATTATGTAAATAACAATGTGCATTCATATTCACTTTTGAAATACGAACTTTTTATACATATTTACGTATTACTGATAAATATGAGGAAAGAATAACAAATATAAAAGAATTAATACAAATTATAATCGTTTAATCGTACATTGAGTTCACGCTAAGAGAACGACATTTCATTAGTCAATCGTTTTCAAACAAAGTATAGCAAAATTCAGGCATCTTATATATTTAGCTTATTGAGCTAACTCGTATATAACGATACATTTCCATCACTGCATATGATATTTTATAACAACTCGTTTGACCTGTACATTGTTTCTAGATACATCCGGCATTCAAAGATTAATCTAAAATTGAAGCTCATCATTCCTTTCTTGCTATGCAATCAAAACTATATACAAACAGGAAGGGAATACGATGTTAATTGTTAGATGAAATTTGGCTAGGTAATATTCTATTTTGTTTTTGTTTTTTTTTTTTTTGTTTTTTTTTTGTTTTTGTATAAATATGGCATTGAGTGTGCATTGAAGTCTCAACTAAGCACTATATATAAAAATATTGAAAATATATTAATTTTGCCAATTCAATAATTAATGGATATTCTGCATTTAAATTCATACGATCGTTGTGACATGCCATATTTAGACAATAATAGAATTAATGATATACAGAGGTATAAATTAACAATCTAAATAATTTCGAAAATTTATAAATATGCGAAGAAGAAAATTGTCTTCTTTATAGCTTTTATGGTAAAATAATATGACAATTTCATTAATTTCATACATTTACTGTAATATTAAAATCAAAATATAAATAATTCTGTCAAATTAATTTTATATTTTAATATCTATTCAGTGGTACTTTTATTCAAATCATAGATTATAATACATTGATTTACAAAATTTACAAAATTTTGTGGAATATTATTGGGTCGAATAATATTAGGAATGGTATTTTTTTTTTTTTTAATCAGCTAAAATTTATAGTGAAAGCAGCGATAGTTAAGGTAGTTACGGAACAATTTAACCCTGACCCACTCTAATCATTTGCAACAAGAGGTAATACGAGATGAATCAGTGATATTATCAAAGACGAACTGCATGCGTGCATTTTATTTTCTAAGTATGGGATTTAAAGTATGGGAGAATGAAAAATGACGATGTAACTCTTTCATAATAATAAGAATAAACATTTAATCTATCTTTGTTTTTTTAACTTTATACAGTTATAAAATATAAGCTACTAGCCTTTTAAATATATTTTATAGGTGAAAAATTTGATAAGATTTTCTTATATAGTAGGGTAGTTTATATTTTATATTCCTATTGTCTATGTGTTGTAAAATATTTCCTAATGTATAAGGTAAATAAAAATTTTAATTGTTTAAAATCTCGTCTAGTCAGGAGGGAGGCAGGGAACCAGCAGGGGGATAAATACGCATTATGCCATATTAATTGAAATAAGAAGTTTTTATGTTAATTTGTAAGATATTTATTGATGTATACTTATAATAACCTATTAAAAGATCATGAAAGTCGTGCACTGTAAACATGAAAATACTCATTATTTTGTTACTTTCACACAGAATAAATTAGAGTATTTTACATAATATAATTTTATAAATTGTATCTCGTATTTATAAAATAAGATTTTCAATGATAATATTATTAACACATTAGATAGATTAAATAAAAGAAATTGTAAGACTTAAATATAACTCAATTAGGCTCGTTCAATTCGCAATAAAACAATTCTTGTTTAAAGAACAAAATATTTTAATATATTACGTGATATAAAGTTGGAAAGATTATTTCTATATATATATATATATATATATATATATATATCAAGAGAGTAAATCCACTTTTAAGTTTACATATGCACAAGAAACTTTTCTCATATGATGTTGTGGACGCGCATAATACGATATTAAAAACTCTTCGAGTCATGTCAAGCATATAGTGGTTCTCGATCATAATATTTCATACAACTGTCACATTTAATATTTTGAAATCAGACATAATATTCAATTTATTTTTATTTTATTTTTTACATATATAATTTAATAATTTGCATTACCTTACTACCTTACAGTGCAGCATAATACTTCAATAAATTAATTCATTAAAGTTCCTTTTCATTACATTAACTATTTACTTTACTTTATTTTTACGTGATTTATTATGGATTTATCTATTTATGCATTTATTATATACATATAGTACCAATACTTAAAAGGATAAATATTCAAAATCATACCGTAGCGAGATTTTATAATTTTACAGCCTTGCAACGCTTCCAACATTTACAGATATTAAATACATCGCATTCACGTACGATGAACTTACTGAAAATACTATACATAAAAATGTTGAATAATAGCAAATAAGAAAATTATGATTAGTAATAATTTAATCATTGCAATACGTAACTGATTATGGAACGCCATTAATACAAACATGCATTTAAATAACACCGTAATTTAAAAATAAGAATTTTGATTTGAATACTTGATGGAAAGACTCGTGTATCGGCCAACGATATACAAGTTATTCGGGACAATTGTAAAACAATATTTCTAAAAGAAGAAAAATAATCTTCAAGAATGTAGAAGAAATGAAAAAAAAATCGAAATTATTTGTGAATTTAAATAAATAAATTACATATGAAATACATAAGATATTTAAAGTAGTTCATTTAAAGATACTAGAAAGTCATTGAACGTAATAAAATCTTTCTTAATATAAGTTACACAAAAAGAGCCTCTTCGTCTACTAATATACACCAGTGATTTATATTTATAAGTAGATTTTCTAACCTTCTCAACGCCTAGAATTGAACTACGAGTCACCAACTTTGTTGGCTCTCAGGAAATCGAGACCACTCGGCGTATACTCTCCCCTGCTCAGCATTTGCTTTGCTCTTCGAAGCGCAAGCGCTTCGGCGAGCCACTCCACACACACACACGCACATACCCTAAAAGGGGTGGGGTGCACATGACAAGGGTCCAGCCCCATCCGTAGGGATGTCGAACTATCGGCCCTCTTCCTCCTCCACCGTCTCATGATCCCTCTCGTTCTTCTCCACCTCCAGATTCCACTTTTGGAGTGGCGTCGCCTGTTGCGACTCGAGGCTCTCCCACCTGCGCTGTAAAAGAGAGAGACTGAGAGAGAGAGTGAGAGCGAGTACGAGAGGGAAGGAGCTGCGGCACGCGACCACGTGGGCTTCCCGCGTTTTCTCGTCGCGCGAACATTTACAGTGGCTCCCCAGTCGCTTTCGTGACACGCAGCGGTTCGCGCGAGTTCGCGCCAGTGATATTCAAGCTGCCTTTTATTAGCAAGAGATTAGCGATCCACCGCCATCACCACCCCACCCCCTCTTGCTCATCGTTTAATAGTTAATTCCGATTATTATCCTTCATTCTTTGCTGTGTTGGTCGTGAGATGTGTTTCTACGTCTCGATGGTACGTTCGTTATGTGAATGAGAACCGCGACAAATTTTAAAGATCTTTGCTGCAAGCTTTGCTCGTCTTTAAGTGTCGATTAAGGCTTGGCGGTGTCTCACTGGTGCGCTATTATTTCTCATGGATTAACGAGAGGCGAATCCATCGGTGGATATATTTTGGAATTCAAATTGTATTTATTTATTCTCGACGTGTCTTTTAGTAAAAAAAAACTTGGCAATAACAATGGTTTATGCCATTATAGGTGCCGGATTCAAAAGATGCAGTCATTTTATAGTTAATTTCTTTTAATTGCTGATAATTATCTTGTGAATTTATTATTCGTCAATTTTTTTTTTTTTTTTTTTTTTTTTTTTTTTTTTTTTTTTTTTTTGAAATTGACGGAAGAAGAATTTTTAATTCTTTTATCAGCTGATAGTCGCTTAATATGGATCGATCGAAAATGATTCGTATAATTAATCGTAAGCGTGATGAGCAAGTGTTTCTCATAACAATTTCCACTGATTCATATATAATGTTGAAATTATACTTGAGCGTACAGTTCACGAAAATATAAAAGCCCACGTTATCATGAGAAACTATAAATTTTCTATGAATTCTCTAATGAGAAAGATCACTGAAGATGTGTGAATGACCGATTTCTCTGAAGCTACAGTCATTAATAATTTATGTAATACACGATTAGATTGTAGGCTAATTTGAGTAAAAAAATTAAAAAATAAAAAAAAAATAAAAAACCGAAAGGCAATTACCGCTATCGTGTACTTAACTCTTCTAAGGATTCTCGTAAAATGAAGTAATTAGCTGCATTTTTCTTTGCGATATGCCTATGAGCATTATTTCTTTATTGCTCTTTCTAAGTTGTTCTCGGTAAGGATTCGCTTCTGGCTAGCCTGCAGGATCCGTGACATCTCGTTGACCCTTGCACGCTCGGATTATGGTGTGCGATGCGCTTACGGTCCAGTCGTAGCTCCGTTAACATTTCAAAGCCGTTGCATCGAGGATAGCAAGGAGTGAAGGAAACGTATAGTTTACCAAGAGGAAGCAGATTGCACGGAGAAATTTGATCGGCGTTAGGGACGCCTGAAAACGAGTGTCCGACTTCACCCGCGAACCACTCACCAGGAATCCTCGTCTTGTACGACTCGGGGGACTGGCGAAGAGGGCAGGAGTCCTCCGGAGGCTGTCGAGGATGCCGCCACATTCGCTGCTACTTGGATGTACAAGCTCTTCGGTGAGATTCGATGTCAAGGATGTCCTATTGATAATTCTTTAAGTGTCAACAAATTATTTAGGAATAATTGAAAGTTCTTTTAAAACGTTAAATCGAAATGTTGAAGAGTAGTAGCATATCGTGTGCCTAACTGCTTGCTAACCACTACCGAAAATCTTTTATAGGGTTATAAATTAATTCAACTAATCAATTATATTAGCGCTTTCTAATTTATACTGACATAATATTCTAAAATAAAATTAATAAATCATCGTAATATAAATTCAATTACTATTCAATTTCGAGTGTGAATTAGAAACTGCGATTATAATCGTAAGAAATAGTGAATTAATCTCAGTTTTAGAGTAACCACATCATATTATCTCGTGAAAAAAATATAAAATGATTACATTGAAAAATGACATATATATATATATATATATATATATATATATATACCTTGTAAAATAATTAGATTATTTGTTGTTAATTGAATTAATATGCCTATTCGTCAGCGTACACTCATTATCGTTATATTCTTTGTATGAAATAAGATAGCTACATGTTTATGTATACGATATATTAATTTATTAAAAGTAAGAAATATATCTTGTTAATACGTATTTTTAAAGAAAAAATTAAAAATCTAACGAGAAGAAGGTAATTTAAATTTTATAAAAAATTGACTATACACTTCGTTTATAGTTATAGAATTGCATTAATCAATTGCAAATTTTAAAATGTGTATATTAGTTACAAATTCTCATAATCTGAAAAATAATTTATCTATAAATAATAAACTTAAATACCTTTGTTACATAAATTTTAACTATATATATATAAATTTCGAATGAGCGTACAATTTCATAAACTAAAAAAATATATAATAAAGGTTAATAACTTATAGTAGCTATAAAATAATATAATAAGATCTTTACAAAATGAATTTTCACTTTATAGTATTATATTTCAATAAATATTAAAATTGCAATATTATTGAATATCCGACAACAATACTTCAAATCGAAAGTAAATGGAAAAATTAAATAATATATTCAATAATTACTTATTATATAATATTCACAGAAATAATTAAAAAAAAAAACATGAAAACAAGAATTTTTTTTAAATTAATTTAATCCCATCTAATTTTTAATAATTAATTTTTATAAGGAAAAAATCTAATGCATTAAAAATATATATATACAAATGTAAAATTTAAAAAATATTAATTAGCTATTATGATAACGTAAATATCATTAAAAATTAGTCAAAATGTAATTTAATGAATTGATTCTGTTATAATAAATATAAATATTAATTATGCGACTATTTTTTTAATTCATTTGGAGAACTTCTTCTCATAATTATTTTCATTCTAATTTCACAACTTACTATAGTTAACATATAAATTGACTCTATATAATGAATCATAATCGTAGAAGTATCATTATTAAATAATCTCAAAGTACTTATTTTATAAATATTATTAATTGATTTTTACGAGGCTTAACATATTTCCACGTCTCAAAAAAATCTGCAAAAATAGTATAATATTTCTTTAATTATAAAAGGTATAAGTGAAATTGAACATTTTTTGTGTCAAATACGTCATCAAATCGAATTAATGTATAATTTATCTTCATATAATTTACAAAGACATTATTAATAGAAAATATTATTATTAAGAAAAACTTTATATTAACAGATTGTGAAATAATAAAACTATTATAATAAAATTATTTCGGGCAAAATGTTTGTATAAAAGTTACGATATGACTGTTTCAAATAAATAATAAAATTATACTTAAAATTTAAAAAAATAAGTAAAACACGGCATTAAGTATTATGATTTTTATAAAATATCAATGAATTTTAAGTGTAAGTGTTAAATAACTTATCTTTTTAATCATTGAATTATTAGACCAAATTGTATTAGGTAATACTAGTATTATAGAGTGATGGAATTAATATCTTAAACTTATAAAATTCATTAACATAAACTGCAATAAATTAATATATTATATAAGTTATTCTAATACATATTATTGATAAAGTTTAATTATTGTCAAAACATATTTTAAGTATCTTTAGCATATCTTAATAAATAATTTAATGCATAGTTTCGAAGGATTTTTTTTTACTAATTTATGATAAATAAAAATAATAAGATATTTAAATAGTATGTGTACATAAATGCTGCAAGATGTTTTTTTTTTTCATATTACTAAGTCCTGTAATTTAAGTTACACTACATACATGCCATTTCCATTCAAGTATAACTATATTTAATTGTATATCGTATTAACAATTAATATGGAGGAATTAAATATCATTATATTACATACAAAATTTGTATTAGATTTTTTTAAAGAGACTCTTCATTTTCTTCATAATATTTAATACAATTTATACATTAAAACAACAGTAATGTGAAGTAATACCGAAACCTATTATTACTTTAATTGAATATATCAATTTTTTATGCAAAAAATATATATACAGATAATGAAAAAAAAAAACTGCTTTTATTTTTAAATAATACTTACAATACAAGTGATTATATTGCATTTGAGATTAATAATACATTCCTTTCTATACTTGAGAGCACTTATTGTCTCTGGAATTGAAAATGACCAGATCTAAGATTTTGGGCCAAAGTCCTGCGACTTCAGAAATTCTATTGCTTAACAACTTGACCTCATCCTCCCTCGATTACCCCACACCTCGAAGCAAGAAAACGCGTAATAACAGAGTCAGAGAACACAACAACAAAAACAACAACAACAACAACAACAAAAAACGCAATGCCCAACAGACGAGGGTGAAATCTTGCTGGGCGGCTGTGGCAACGCCATCGACACTCTCTGGGAGGGATTCGAGAGCGTCGCCGTTAAGTGCGAAGAACAGAGCGAGGCTACGGTCGGGCCGGATATAATCGAGGCGCACGGCATCTACGAGGAGGAGATGGTGGCCCAGGAGAGCCAGGCCCAGGGCTATGGCGAGCTCCTGCAGACAGCGAGCCGGGAGTCCAAGGAGCTCATCTCCCTCGAGGAACTGATGCCGCGACCGGGCTCGTCCTCTAGCCAATCGTACCAACAGCATCACCAGCTCCAAAGACAGCAGCAAAACTACTACAACCTAGCACCCATACAAGAGTAAGAGTCTTTTCCCGTACCTGTGTACGAAATTTTTTTTCTATCCCTTGCTCGAATGTCCGCCTTATGAGAGAATCGCCTCGTTGCGTATGTCAACAGTCGTTAATTATAACATAGCGATAAGCTCAAAAGAACATTTATTATCATAATACTCGCTTATCGATGCCCCAATACTTTTGAATCTTTCGGTGCAAATAATTAAATGCTATTAAGGCTCCGACTGATCGATACGATAACTTTCTAGCGTCATTAAAAGTAAAAAAAAAAAAAAAAAAATACTACCAACCGCACTGGATTTATCTGCATAATTAAGGATCCTGACTTAACTTCTCACCGAGATTGATCTATTACTCAAGACATTACGTTATATTACGATCAAGTGCAAATACATAAGTGTATGCTTGCTATTAAGAATATCTTCGTAACATGTTGAAAATGGTAGGGATTCATTTGTTTGAAGATGCCGGAATTTAATTTTATTGAAGAATACCTAAGTTAAACCAATAAAAATCTACGTATGGCTTATATTATTAACTATTATATAATTATTAAGGACATTACTCTATTCGAAGTTGATAATTAGGAGAGAAAAGCATATTACATTTCTTTGAATATATTAAAATTACTTTCACAGATAAAGACCAGAAATTTACTTGTATAATCTATGTATTATTTTTTAGATTCTAATATTTTCATCAATTGTTATTGAATAAAATTTTGGCGAAATAAATAAATTTTATTCACTCTAACGACATTGAACAAACATCCGGCCTGATTAATTTTGCTATAATTTTGTCATTTAAAGTCATTTCATATAGCAAAATTAATCAATAACTGGGCCTTATCAATATATTACATTTCACTATAATGTTTATATTAAACGAGCGTGGGTGTTTGTAAATTACTATTCAAAATATTATTGCTTAACAATTGTTTAGAATAAATGTTTTTATAATAATTATTATTGGGCTATACCATATCATATATTTATGCATATTTTTATGTGTACATAGCATTAATTTAACTTTATTTAATTACTTGATTTAATCTGAAAATATCTTCTTCCAAAACTCTACAAATGAATGATGCTAAGAATCAAAGTAATAAATGATTTAACAATTTTATAATAATTTCGGCGTATCGCATTCTTTCACAATTTTCGTTGCACTCTAATACCAATAGCTAACTTGCGTTACAGCAATGGCAAAATGAAATTACACTAATCGCCAACTTGTTATATCACCGGCCACGGGCAATGCACGGAAAAAAAAACACTGCGTTATTAGCGCATACAAATATACACGCGTAATCTTACTGCAACGACAGCTCCGTTGTCGGCGTCACTCTCCGTCGTGATCGTCATCGTCGTCGTCGTCGTCGTCGTCGTCGTCGTCGTCGTCGTCGTCGTCGTCGTCGTCGTCGTCGTCGTCGTCGTCGTCGTCGTCGTCGTCGTCGTCGTCGTCGTCGTCGTCGTCGTCGTCGTCGTCGTCGTCGTCGTCGTCGTCGTCGTCGTCGTCGTCGTCGTCGTCGTCGTCGTCGTCGTCGTCGTCGTCGTCGTCGTCGTCGTCGTCGTCGTCGTCGTCGTCGTCGTCGTCGTCGTCGTCGTCGTCGTCGTCGTCGTCGTCGTCGTCGTCGTCGTCGTCGTCGTCGTCGTCGTCGTCGTCGTCGTCGTCGTCGTCGTCGTCGTCGTCGTCGTCGTCGTCGTCGTCGTCGTCGTCGTCGTCGTCGTCGTCGTCGTCGTCGTCGTCGTCGTCGTCGTCGTCGTCGTCGTCGTCGTCGTCGTCGTCGTCGTCGTCGTCGTCGTCGTCGTCGTCGTCGTCGTCGTCGTCGTCGTCGTCGTCGTCGTCGTCGTCGTCGTCGTCGTCGTCGTCGTCGTCGTCGTCGTCGTCGTCGTCGTCGTCGTCGTCGTCGTCGTCGTCGTCGTCGTCGTCGTCGTCGTCGTCGTCGTCGTCGTCGTCGTTATGGTCATGTGACTTGACTTGTTGGAGAAGATAAACGTCTGACCTTGGCGCTTCTGACTTTTCATATTTTCGACATAAATCACATTTTTCGCAAGATCCCATTTTGCATATATAATTCAAATTAGTTATGTTTTTTTTTTTGAAAATGATATTCATCATTTTGAAAAACTAACTTTGCAAAATGATCTTTTCAAATAGATTAAATAATAATTTATGATTTTAGACAAATACATTAATAAAACAAATAGAAATATATATAGAAGTAAAATTAATGAGAAGAAAATTACGTTGCAACATATTTTCACATGTATTTCCAATGCTAATCTTACGATTTTCGTCCAAGGATGCACTTAAATTTTTTACATAATAAATTAATTAGTTTTATAAAAAATTCTAATAATATATTTGATATATAAATTACATAAAAATATATATAAATAAAAATAAATGTACGAAACAATATATAATACACATAGATTGTATTTCCTTCTTTTATTTCAAAATAAAATTCACAAATATTAAATATAATAAAATAATCCCTTATAAAATAAAACCTATTATTTTGTGCAAATATTTATACTAAAAATTGTAATTTAATACTCTTTTTATTGTTACGTATTTTTTAAAAGACAATAATGATGTTTATTTCCTATTAAAGATTATAATTAAAAGAGAATCCTGTAAAGCCAATTCTAATACGTGTACTCAATAAAACATAAATAATCGAAGGATGCAAGATTGATTACTATTAATTCAACAATATACGTACCTAAGTGGTGCATACATATTTTAATAAAATTGACCAATGATCGTTTACCAAAAAATTTTTAACCGAAAAGTTTGAAAAGAGCGTAATTCTAAATACATGTACATTGCAACGAACCACCATATTAGCGTCAGCCTTAGCGAAATATAAAATTTCAAAAACCATCCAACGACTGTCGATATCGATATAAACAAATCACAATCGTCGCCGAACAAATAAAACTAACAAGCATATTGAGCACTAGGAGTCCATACTCGACACTCTTCTTCGGCGAGCTAACAGCAGCTACGGGTCTGTATCCAACCCCGGCGCGGTCGGGGCCCGAGGGTATCGGGGCGCCGGCCCCGAGCGCCGGCCTCGTCGTCCCCTGCAAGGCACCCCCGAGTAACACGAGCAGCACTAGCAGCAACCCCTCGGCACCGGAGCCCTACCAGCTCCAGATGGAGGCCACGGGTGCGATGGTTCCCGAACGAACCCGAAGCGGCTCCTCCTCGCGTCATTATGTCCACCAGCAGCAGCAGCAGCAGCAGCAGCAGCAGCAGCACCACCACCACCACCACCATCACCACCACCACCACAGCCGAAGCTCATCGGTGTCGCAGGAGGGACAGACGACGGCTGGGGAGCTACCCGACGAGATCCAGCATTACACGAAGAAGAGGAAGGTCTTTAGCCAGTGAGTACTAATCATATCCTTGTTACAATTTTTTTTCGATCATCGAATTCCTTTAAGGCAATTATCTACCTTCTCTACCTTCGAGCCTAGTCACCCTTCACCTTCTCCCAAATCGAACACCTGATGCATTAAGACATATGTTAGGTTCTTCGGTATACCATTCGGTATAGTCAATGATCTAGAAGATTAATTGCGGATGAAAATAGTCTTGAGTAAACGTACCGATGGACGTGATTTATTTTTCCTCGGGATTTATTTTATTTACTTATTTATTTACATCTATTTATTTCAATTGTTGATGGAATTACGCGATATATCCTAATATTTAATAAACGCTCGTATCTGTGCTGAATAAATAATTATAATTGACGTAGTGTTTTAAATTTAAATTTTAAATCAATTATTGTCCATTGCCCATGATATAACATTAACAATTGCAGACATTTAACAAACTATGTATCAACTTTATCACAAACCCCTTCTGCTAAAGATCCAACTAAATTGTAGTTATTCAGGTATTCGTTAATATTATCAATTGAAGGAAATAATAATTCGAAATCCTCCAAATTCGATAATACATTTTCGATTATATTCGTCCAAAAAAAAAAAAAAAAATAAATAAATAATTTCCTTATCGTTTTAATTAAAAACGATATTACGCAAGCACAAATAATTAATAAATGCGTAAATCACTTTGAATCTGATATTTTAATTTGCTTGTAATGAATATCGAGGAAAGTAAAAGAAAATTCAGATCTTTCTCACGATCGACACTTGGGAAAGGCGAAAACACTCGCTTCAAGATTTCATCTACGTAGCGGTGAAACCGCATGAGTTCTAGGATGAATAGGTGTCGGAAAACTTGCGAACTTAGTTCCCCACGTGCCAAAGAATTTCGCATATAAAGTGAAGCCCCGCAGACCCATTGCGGTAAACAGCTGTTTTGAATATGGGAAGCCCTTGAGTCGACCCTTTGATCCGCAACCGATGCAAGACATTCAAGTTAGAGGTGCTGCGATGCAAGTCGCGGAATTTATATACAAATTTATATACGGAACTCCGAAAATCATTAACACGTTCCCGCTTCATCGCATGACAATTTAAGTAATTGCGAAATTAACGATGCGGGAATTTAGTTTCAACGAATATATTATGATAATAGATGATTTTCACCGTAATACTATTATTTCCTTAACTTTCTATTATCCATTATAATTTGAGAAATCAATAAATCAAGAAATCTATTTAAATGCGTAATATACAATAATAATTAATGATATTTTAACAATAACAATTTTAACGTAAGCTAATAATGCATTTAGTATTCTTATTACTGATGAATTGTTAAAAATTTATATAATATTAAGTATTTATAAGAAACAGATTTGAAATAACAAAGTAATTATAAGCTTTATGATAGCAAAAGTTTTATGATATAAATTATTAAATACTAATCGATAAATAACATTAATCACAATAAATTATAAATATATACTATATTACATTTTATCTTTCTGCAATTTTATATATTCAATTTTTATATACCGCAGAAAAAAAAATGAAACACAAATACAAGCGTATGTAATATAATCGATCGAATCCTTAATTCAAAATAAATATTTGAACTCATATTGTAAAAAAAGCTCACACGATTAGGGTCAAGAAAAAACTGTATAAATATTTATTTATATTCATATTGCAAGAATATGAATTTAAATATTATCGTTATTACAATTTCGTCACTTTAACATTAAGAATAAGTTATTAAAAATTTTTCTTATCTATTAAATGTATTATTATTACAAATATATTTACAAGTATATTTAAATAATGTTAGGCAATAGAATCATATTTTATTTAATTGTACTTTGTATTTTTTGAAAATTTTATGCATAATAATCCGTATAAGTGTGCTATAGAAGACCAGTACCATTACATTGTACTAGTACAATGATAGTTAAGAATAATACAATTTCTTTAAATATAAATAAATCATTCCAATCAAGTAAACAAAATTAAGTTCAGACATTTACGGATATTATTAATGCTAATATAGTTTAATTAATTTTAATTGATTAATGAAAAGAAATATAAATAATTTGCAAATAGTTGAAAATTAATATATATGTGTGCGCGCGCGCGTGTGCGTGCGTGCGTGCGTGCGTGCGTGCGTGCGTGCGTGTGTTTAAACATTATTTATTTAACAAGTATTAAGTATTAAGTATTAACCTTAACTTTGTTTTATAATTAAACTTAAAATAAATATAATATAAAGATTTTTATATTTCAGTATATTATACTTACTAGTTCGCCAAAAAAAAAATTATAATTGAAATTATTTTTTGTGTATTGAGTTAATGTAATTAATGCACGTACATTAGTTAAGGGAATGCTTTAAACATAAAATCACAATATTTTTTAATCATTAGAGCAATTAAAATCGTAATTCAATCGCTTCATTAAAAACTGGTTTAACAAGCGAGTTTTGAGATTCGAACGAAATTCGTATTAATCGAAGTTGTTATTTATTATCATTTAGTTTCATATGAGCTGTCCACAGCATAAAAACTGTCCATTGTCACATTTTCATGATTTTTGTTGTTGTTGTTGTTGTTGGTGTTGTTGTTGTAATAATTCAATAAAATTTCATGTCCATATTTATACTTGTATATAAGATTAAATTAATAATGTATATTAAATTCCATTCGGATCTATAAACTTTTTCTTTTGTAAAAAAAACTGCTGATTATATTTAATTTCAATCGTCTGAAATTTAATCATGAGAGTAAAACCGATTGTGCCTAACTTCTTAGAAGTTTTAATTTTTAAGTGACAATATTTAATCGCAATGTCAGTAAGTATAGATTAATCAAATACCATTTAAATGACAGATTAATTCCAAGGAAAGCGTTTGCTTGGAAAAGCAGATTGTCGATCTGTATGTTCAAAAAAAAAAAAAAAAAAAAAAAAAAAAAAAAAAAATTCGACATATGAAATATAATATGGCAAACGAATCACATGCTGCATAAGATTCTTAATCATTATAAAATTAATAATAATGAAATAAATAATATTTGTCTTAGTCGTGACGCATGGATTGAGAAAAAAAATTTGCACAATGCCTAAGGCTCGGCTTACTACTACACCGCGACATAAACAAAGAGAATAAAAGAAGAAAAATATTTTCGAAGGAACTCGCAACGCAAATCAAACGTGAAATTCGTAAAATTCGTAGAGCAGATAAATCGGCCGTGTATACACGCAGATTATATAGATCATGCCGCACAGGAGGCCGTTACGCAATGGCGAGCTTTCGTTAATGGGCTAACGGCGATCGAAGGCGTGCCAATGTAATGTAAGCCTTTGCTCTTTGCATAATTCATAAACATCCAAAATGCGGAGAGTTTGCCCCTCGTTAAATTGTTAATAGATTAACAAATCACTGCGTAATTTGGAGTACAACAGAAATCGTGGAGCGACCGGTCTTGCTTTCCGTTCAGTCGACTTTTCGTAAACGGACTTTCTTCTCTTTTATCTTTCTAAGCACGTCGTATGTAAAACCATTACCGCCCCTTTTCTTGCACATGCTTACAATTTATGGATTAAAATTAATTTAAACATCATGGTGCTTCCGATACTCTGTTCGGGCTAGAGCCATAATATTCAACGTTACTACCTATAAATAATAAAAAATGTTTGTTTATTAGTAAAAGCATAGATTAAGCTACCAATTGAAAGTATACATAAGATTTTAATTATATTAAGAGAAACAAAAACAGAATCATACATTTCTTTTCTCTAATTTGCTTTCTTAAATAGTCAACACTTTTATAGAAATATCCGATGATAAAAATTATCTAAATCTAAATAAATTTTCAAAACGTATATTACAAATTATCAATAATAATTAGTAAAATATGTCACAATAATGTAATTTTTTTTTTTACATTTACTGGAAAATGAATTGTATTACAACTTTATAGCATACTTAAATAGTTGCACAATGATCATACATTGTATTTTTAATATATTTTTTGTGTGTGTCGATAATATTATATATTATTTATTTATATCGATAAGTTAATATACATGAATATAAATAAATGAAATGGTTTAAAAAATTTATAGATAAACGTAATGAAATTATGCAATACAACATATAGATTACCTGCGACGCATAACAAGTGTCATAAAATATATATTTTAAAGAATAATATGCTAATTCAACATACAATAATTCTTTCGTTTACAAAATTCTATTTTCTTACAGCTTTATAAACATTGTTAATTACCTTTTTAATCTAAAATCTAATAATCTTTTTAATTTGAATTCTTTTTCTTTCCACAGTGACTCGAGCGAATTAATGGATGACCCGGGAGAGGATGCGAAATCAGTACAATTGAACGATGATAGTAAAAAGTAAGTTAAATAACAAAATAATAATATCACATGTTCTTTATTGTTATTAAAATAAAGAAATAAAATATCATGAAATTGATTGATAGATCATTTCCATCGATAATATTTTTTAAGGTTAAATAATATTTTATATACCAATATTTTCAATAGATTGATATTATATTTGAAAAATTCAATTACATAATAAACAATAATATTATGAAACATACTATGAGTATGAAAAACTATTATATGTTAATATAATATAACGTGTTTTTCTATTATTATTTAATAAAAATATTGATATATACAAGATATATGTATTATGTATGTACATCGTAAATAATTGTACTACAGAAAAAATATAAATATTAGAAAAATATAGAGAAATAGGTATAAATAACTGTTATGTTCTACGTTGTAAAAATATTAAATTATTAAAGTTATTCAATTCTTAAATGTGTTTCTTAACTGTTCGTAAATGTTTACGTTGCAACTAAATTTTTTACTTTATAAAATGTTTTCAGAAGTTCAAACAATTACGCCGTAAATATATATATAGGAAAATTTTATTTTAAACAATTACGCCGTACATATATATATATAAAAGAAAATTTTAGTTTAAACAATTACGCCGTAAATATATATATATATAAAGGATTATTTTAGTTTAAACAATTACGCCATACATCTCTATATATAAAGGAATATTTTATTTTCATCAATTACGCCCTAAATATATATATATATAAAGGAATAATTTAGTTTATACAATTACGCCGTCAATATATATATATATATATAAAGGAATATTTTAGTTTAAACAATTACACCGTCAATACATATATATATATAGGAATATTTTATTTTAAACAACTGCGCCGTAAATATATATCTATAAAAGAAAATTTTAGTTTAAATAATTACGCCGCAAATATATATACATAAAGAAAAATTTTATTTTAAACAATTACGCCGTAAATATATATATATATAAAGGAATATTTTAGTTTAAACAATTACGTCGTCAATACATATATATATATAGGAATATTTTATTTTAAACAACTGCGCCGTAAATATATATCTATAAAAGAAAATTTTAGTTTAAATAATTACGCCGCAAATATATATACATAAAGAAAAATTTTATTTTAAACAATTACGCCGTAAATATATATATAGGAAAATTTTATTTTAAACAATTACGCCGTACATATATATATACATAGAAAGGATTATTTTACTTTAAACAATTATGCCGTAAATATATATATATATATATAAAGGAATATTTTAGTTTAAACAATTACGTCGTGAATATATATATATATACATATACATATATATATATATATATATATATATATATATATATATATATATATAAAGGAATATTTTACTTTAAACAATTACGCCGTCAATACATATATATATAAAGGAATATTTTATTTGAAACAAATACGCCGTAAATATATATATATATATATATATATATATATATATACATATATATATATAGGAATATTTGAGTTTAAACAATTACGCCGTACATATATATATATATAAAGGACAATTTTAGTTTAAACAATTACGCCGTACATATATATATACATAGAAAGGATTATTTTACTTTAAACAATTACGCCGTAAATATATATATATATATATATATATATAAAGGATTATTTTAGTTTAAACAATTACGCCGTAAATATATATATATATAAATGAATATTTTATTTGAAACAATTACGCCGTACATATATATATACATAGAAAGGATTATTTTACTTTAAACAATTATGCCGTAAATATATATATATATATATAAAGAAAAATTTTACTTTAAACAATTAAGCCGTAAATATATATGTATAAAGGAATATTTTATTTTAAGCAACTACGCCGTATATATATATATATATATATATATAAAGGATTATTTTAGTTTAAACAATTACGCCATACATATATATATATATAAAGGACAGTTTTAGTTTAAACAATTACGCCGTCAATACATATATATATAAAGGATTATTTTAATTTAAACAACTACGCCGTCAATACTATATATATATATATAAAGGAATATTTTAGTTTAAACAATTACATCGTCAATACATATTTATATAAAGGAATATTTTAGTTTAAACAATTACGCCGTAAATATATATATATATAAAGGATTATTTTAGTTTAAACAATTACGCCATACATATATATATATATAAAGGACAGTTTTAGTTTAAACAATTACGCCGTCAATACATATATATATAAAGGATTATTTTAATTTAAACAACTACGCCGTCAATACATATATATATATAAAGGAAAATTTTACTTTAAACAATTAAGCCGTAAATATATATATACATATGTACGACGTAGTTGTTTAAAATAATATATTCCTTACTTGTATTGTATAATTATATAAAAAAGCACTTTATTCAAATATAGTGTTAATTAATATAAAATAACTTAAGGAGCCTACAAGTTATTCCCTAATTTTTTAAATTCCACTATATTTAAAATTTTAGAATGTAAGCTAAAAAATGTAAATTTCTTATTATTTATTATGTTAGTCAAAAGAATAACATCTTGTTATTCTACTAATATAAAAAGCTGCTATGTTATAAATTTCAATATCTTTTTTATTAGAATACGGTTACAAATTTATTTTGGATTTTCATTACGGATTTAATTGTTTACATCCACGTGAATAAATAAATTTGAAAATTTATTCGCTGTATTAATAAAATATCTTATGTATTAATTTACTATCGCGATGTTAAATAATAGCAATGTAAATATAGTCAGAGAAAAGTAATATCAGTAATGAGCTTATCACGAAGTGCTAATTTATTATTGAATCATTAAGTATTTATTGATTTAATGATCGATTGTTGATGAATAAAAAATATGGCCTAATCATTTTCATGTTCGAATTTTTTATTACAATTTTTATTTGAAAATAAGCATTATTATAGTATGATGAACAGTAATGGATAGATTTTCTAAAAATTAATCAAACTTTTCATATTGCTTACTTAGTCTAGTAATAAATGAGTTTTTCTTTAATTAAATTAGAGTATAGACATTTTATCGAGTCGTTGATCAAATGTGTTTGATTATTACTACCTAACGGAAACTCTTGTTTTATTTATTATTATTACCATTAGTTGAAATTGTTTATGTTTTATTTATTTATAAAAAAAAATTTGTTTATTAATAATCATCAACAACAGCTAATCGTTTATTATTGGTAAGCATTTTTGTTACTTTGATATTATCTATATCGCATTAATGCACTCTTGTCGTTTCGTAGGCTTACAGCATTTATAATTAGGGTGACTTGTAGAATAATTGCCTTCAAGACATATCGAAGTATGCCTTTATTACGTCATTTAACTGAAATACAAATTATTTCTTAGGCTTTTCATGCATTTTCAATATCCATATTTAATATAAGTAATTATAATTTAATGTATTCGAGAATCTTGTTCTACGTTACATATCAGTTTTTCGCAATTTCGTGCATAATTATCGGCCATTATATTTTTTGCAAAATGGAGATTACAACGATTACAAAGACTAAGATGAAACTATTATACTTTCAATGTATACTAGTGCAATAAAAGGAATATAAATATCAAATGTATTGCTCGAAAAAATATTCTTAAATTCATTCAATCAAGTAATAAAATGCATTATGCCTTACGTAAAAAGAATGCGCATCAGTTTTGCGTGAGTTTTTAACAAAATAATTGTCATCAAATTTCACTCCATCTCAAATTAAAAAATTACATCTATTAAATTAAATCTATTAAATGCAGTATAAGTTAAAAATTGCATTTTAACCCAATGGCTGAAAGTCTAGAAAGTACGAAGCTGTCATCTTTCGCTCAATAAACATAAGCGATAAAAATAAACTCCAGCCTCTTGCAATTCGTTCATTTGCGACTGATTCCCAAAGCTTTCGTAAAAGACTCGTAAAAATGAACGGCACGCACGATTTACTCGTTCGCGCACTGGTTGTAAGTTCATTGACCCTTTGTGCAGACAAAATCATAGCGAGATCGAGAAGCGTCGACGGGACAAAATGAACACATACATCACGGAGCTCTCGGCAATGGTGCCGATGTGTCACGCGATGTCTCGGAAATTGGACAAACTGACAGTCCTAAGGATGGCAGTGCAGCATCTCAAGACAATCTTAGGTGCCGTCACGTCGTATACCGAGGGCCACTACAAACCGGCATTACTAAAAACTCTAATTTTACAGGTACGTTTGTTATTCCTGAAATATCGACGTTCCCACTCACAGCATTAAATCACTTAGAATAGGCATAAAGTAATCCGAAACTTTACCTCTCTATTTTCAATCATTTGGATTACTTATGGATATTAAATTTTAAATTTCACGTTTCTGGCGTTAATTTTAACATTTAATTAATCGACAATTTATGGCAATAATATTTATTATTTCGTAAAATTGCCTTTTAAGGAAATAGGGAAGTATAAAGATGAATAAACAATTTATTCCTCGTACGTTTAGCTTTATGATAAATAGTTATTATAAAATCTCATAGTTTCATACTTTTTTTTTTTTTTTTTTTTTTTTTTTTTTTTTTTTTTTGTAAATCAATAATAAATTATAGATTTATTGACTAATTTAATAATTGAATAAAAGTATGTAAGAACAATTTGTGAAAAGATCAACAAATTTAGCGAGCAATTTTTAATCTAAATTAATTCATTCTTTGCGGTAATTCGAGAATTTATGAATTATCTGCGCAATGATATTAGTCAGTACGTTAAAGTTAAATAGATATTAAATTAGGAATATTAGCATAGCTAATGTTTTTTAAAAATATTTCTATGAAACGGTAATGCGATTAATGTACAATTTTCAATATTACAAATTTACAAAATATCTTGTATATTATGGTCGTGTGCGATTAAAAACAACATTTTAACGGCAAACTTGTAACGTATTTATCTTATAGGTTACATATACACGTTACATATAGACTAAAATAATTGTATTTTTGAAATTATTAATTTTATTGATTTCAATATCGACATCGTTATAATTTATTTCATTACATTTCACGCTTGATTTTCTAGTCATTTCAGCAATTTTCTTTAAAATGAAACTCTAATGTATTATTCTACTTCAGAATCTTTTCTATAACTGTCGAGTCGACGGCTAAGTACTGAAAAATTATTTTATTAAATAAATAAAGTCATATAAATTGATAAACACGTAAAATGTTATTGATTTAAAGTTGCGTGAAATTTATAACGACTCGAGCCACCATACTACCATACAAGTAAATATAGTTCCAGCACAAATATATATTTATTTAACAGAAATGTGTGTAAAAAAATGTTCGAAAAACATTTACATTACTTTATAAAAAAAGGTCAATGTGTTATATATATTTCGCAATTCATAAGGTGGTTCTCAAGAAATTTCGAAATTCCACACAGGTATGTGTAGGACTGTTATTATCACTGGATGAACGCGTTTCGTAAACGATCGATTATTTTGCGAACACTGAGCGCACACGAGTTTTGAAAATTGCATTAAGATTCATTTTCCAAGCCCCGATAGATAAGGCGGTATATTACCGTAGACGCATGCGCGCACGACCAGACACAACACAAGCGCACAAACGCACGCAACACAGACACACAGGCGCGCGCGCACACGCACGCACGCACACGTCCTTTTAGTCAGTCACTCATTCATTTACTAGTATCGAAATACGTAAATCCAGACGCTCGGCCAGGCTTATCTTGGCACACTGTATCATTATCGTTATATTCGCGTTCGCGCGAAAGTCGAACTGCAGCCGCGAGCGGCGAAGATTAATTTACTCGAAATTCCGTTACGCGCCTCGAGCACGCGGCCTTTTTCATTGTCGTGACCCAAGAGAGAAAGAAGTGAGCGAGATAGATTGTGCGCTTGTACGTGTAGGTAATAGAGCAACGGTCACGATAATAAAGGATTGGATTGTCTTTATGTATGTAGTTTTGTAGGTTACCTTTGTTACCTTTGATTGTCAGACTTATGCAAATTATGAAATAGTTTTTTTTTTTTTTTTAATTCGATAGTGCGTTAACACGTGTATTGAACTAATAATGTATTAGAGATTTATGTGATTTGAGACATAAGTCGAAGATATTATTTAGGAAATTTTTTTGTTCACGTATTTACTTTTATAAACGATAACTGTAGATGATATATTGTATTTAATTATTATTTTGATATACATTAGAGTATGAAAAGTTTAAGTTAGTTTGTAACAAGGATATCGGACTTGTTTATTTGATCATAATGACGCTGATGCAATATCGGTACCTGATTTTTAATCATCTTATGTAATTCAATCAACTCTTAATTGAATAGCATTTAAAAATGTTATTTAAGGTAAATATTCCAAAAATACGTTTTGGTTGAAACTGGATTATTTTTATATTCAACAATTATTAGTTTCTTTATATTATTATAGTCAACCAAAATATAAAATTCGTGAAAGAAATTTTAATTTTAATTTAAATCTATATAATGGTTGACATCGCTTAATGATTTGTAAAACCAGTGATGTTAATTGAGATAAATGAGCTTGCCAATTAAGAAACTATATTTTGAATTGTTAAATTTTACATTATTGCGAAATAAAAATTTATGGAAAAATTTTCTATTGTATCACGAATAATTCATTTTTTAATGAGCTTTAGAAAATGGCATCTCCAGTTATAGAGTTCTAGAATATCGCTAAAAAAATTATTTCTATTTCTAAAAGGAATATATACAATTACATTTCCATATTAATAAATACTTTTTAATTATAACGATAATTTATTGTTATATTAGTATAGAAAAAATTCAAATGCAAATTTTGTTTTACTTCGGTCTAATCTAAAGTAGCCTATAAAGTAGCTTTTAAAATAAATAATTTTATATAATTTAATCATTTAATGGAAAATAATTTTCTATTTCTAAATTATGTTAAAATAACATTATCGTTCTAATACATTTCAATGTATTCAATGTAATATATTTCCAAAGGCGAAACAAGATAAATGTATTCGTTTTTTATACATTCGTTGTCCAAGTGTATATATATATATATATATATATATATACTCTAGTGATAAGAATATGAATTAAATATAATAATATTATATGAAATAATGTATTACTAACATATTACACCAATAAATATAAAGATAAAATATTATTAAATTATTACGCTACATTAACCAAAGTTACGCATACGTGTAATATTATTTTTGTAACGTATTTGCACTATCCTTCATAAACATTTTCTTCATAAATATCAGTAGCATATGATATCTCTAAAATTGGATAAAAATACCAATACTATTTAAACAAATTGAATTGGTCTAAATCTCAGTTTATCCGATAGTGAACCTTCATGTGCATTGGCTCATTACATTCCCTTTCAGGTTGACCAAACTGTATTCAAGATAAACCAATAGTAATAAAACTATTATAAAGTGTTTCGATTTGTCTCTTTTTTTCGTCCTAATTCTTTTCTTAGCGCTTATATATATATATATATATATATAAACTTTAGTCTTAAGCAAGGATCCTTTCTTCCTACACCGAACTTTTTGCTTGTTCAATGCTCATTTGAAGATCTTTTTCTCGATTCTATGCTTGTTAAGAATAAATTCACGCAATAGCCCAATATAATGTCACGACGGTGCAATATATTAAAAAATAAACGACATTATAGTTTCATTCAGTGATTAAAGATGAGATTGTATAAATATATTATTAAATGTATGTCACTTTTTAATTCTATTTTTATTAAGTAACAATCATACTCTATCATTTTTAAAACCCTTTTTTATTCTTTGATAAGTAAATAGATGAAAAAATTTTTAAATAAGAATACCAAACCAATAAATCTTTATATCCGTTTCTTTTCACTTGTATGAAAAATATTAAGTAGTAATTATTTTTAATTCATCGATGATTAATATTTGAATGGATTTAACGAATTATTTATATTAAAATTATTTGTTTGTTATAAAGTAAGATCTGTTCTTTGGTGTATACAATGGAGTCGTCAAATTTTTTTCACGAAAAAAAATGAGAAAATTTGTAACGAAATGGAAGAACAATTTATCACGCAATAAACAATAATTTACAAACTTGAAAAAACTGTAAAAATCAATGCTATCTGATATGGATCTGATATGGATGGGAATATGATAGACAATTTATCATAGCATATTTTTAAATTGTTATTACTAACCGAATATCTTTCATACGATTAAATTTTTTAATAATAAATTGAAATGAAATGATGATGACAAATTGACCTGTGATAAAATATAAAATTACATAAAAGAAATGTTCTGCTGTAACTAAAAAGAAAACTTACCGAAAACAAGGTTACTCGAAGAAAAGATTTCTCCAAATACGTTTAAATTTAGATTTGGAACTTAAGTTTAATAAGTGACTTTGGATTAATAAGAATAGGACATTTTTTTATAATTTAGACACATTAATAGAATATTAAATTTCCTTACAATCAATAATTTATTACATCAAATGAATCTTTCCGTATTATTATTATCCATCGAATACATCAATTTGCAACAATATCAATATAAAAACTCTATTTTACATTTTTTATGAAAAATAGAGCGAGAAAAAAAAATACCCCAAACAATAAGATGTTCTACGGTTTCTCCATCTCTCGCATCTGCTTTCAATACCTGTATGTAATATTCCTATAACCGAGGTACATGTGTGCATAAGCTCACCTACTAGAGCACTGCACGTGTACTTATACAAGTACATACTTTCTCTGATATCTTATTGAAGACACTAGATTTGATTTTGGTACGTACCTGTATGATCAATACATATGTAATCTTAAATAGTACAAATAGTACATTCCTTTCTCGCCACATCAAAGTCCATCTGGTTACTTGATGTTTTTATTCACTTATGTACTTATATCAACCTATAAAAAGACTTATATAAAATTATTAAATGTCGTACTCGTTTGTTAAGATGAGATTAAAAGAAATAGCTGTTGAAAATATATATATATATATAAATTGTTTAAGTAATAATAAAATATTATTGTAATATATAGATAAAATGATTAAATTTCTAATGAATTATGAATAAAGTAATGAATCGATGATATTAAAATAAATTACATAATCGAATAATATAAAAATATATCACATAACTATTGAAAAAATAAAATATTTTCCGACTATATTGTCTAATTTCAATAGAATACGAATATTATATAAATTGCTTAAGGATTTTCTTTATAATAATGAATCAATCAACATTTTTATTTAATGATAAGGATAAATAAGATTTTTATACATTACTATTATAATTATTTAAACAATCGTATGAAATAATGTTTAGTAGTAATTAATTTTCAGTAAGTTCTGTTAAATTATACCTTAAATTTTAAATTACTTATTTAATAATTTTAAAAACTTTTTTTTTTATATTAGTACGTTCGCATATTAAGCTCATGATAAATTTATTAAAATATTATTTGAAAATTGCACATATATTTTAATTAAAAGATAGCAGCATATATTATAAAGTCTGCTGAATCTCTGACTTTATTAAATTATCGAATTTAATTTAATCTTAATTAATCCTCAATTAATGATCATTGATGTGTATATAACCATTTGAAATAATAATTATTATATTGATAATTTTCTTCCTATCCACTAAACATTTATGCTCGTTAGACCCTAATAACAATATAACAATTTAGTATATGAATAAACAAGTATAATAAGTAATATGATTGTTTTTTTTTTTTAAGTATTTATTATTACTAGAATTTCAGTATTAATTATTTTATAAAGTAATATTTGATTTGTTAATAATTTTAAAATTAATGAAGATTTTTATATGCTAGCTTTATATTAGTTTTCTTTACAAATCATACAGATCATCGAGAACAAAGTGTTAAAAAGTATTAACTAATAATTGTTCGTATTCATATGAGATTTATTTTTCATTATACATCGATATATTTCGAATTTTCTACACTGGTCACACTGGGAATGTTTATTTTTTTTTTTTTAACATTACTAATGTACATATTTCTGAAATAATAAGCCATTCACTAGTTTTTTTTTTTTTTTTTTTTTTTTTTTTGATAATCATGAATTAATAAATAAATCATAATTATTGTCATTAAGACATAAAAAAATCTATATAAAATATATATAAAATCGAAATTATATACAATCTATAAATCACATTCTAATAAATGAAAATGACTAGATAACTTAATTTTAATGAAACTTATTTGAGCGAATTACACAACAAATATATATATATTTAATAAACACAGTTTTGAAGAAAAATAACATAAATATGATAATTTAATGTAAAATATGCAGATTAGATAGCAATTATGTATCAACCTCGTGCCAATAGTATTGATGCACGTAATGCAATTGCAGTGCTGCAACCAACAGCTTTGTAGCTAAATTCTTAGCTCGGGCATTATAGGAACAAGTTCGCCATTTAACCATATGGTTACACTAATTATGTTGCTTCGTTAGCCCTGCGGACCTGTGTAAGCTTCACATCCATGCTACAAGCTGACTAAGTTTCAATGATTCTGAACTTTCGACCCTCTCACCTACATATGCATCGCATTATGCAAACCCGGCAGTAGACTGTGTTTCGCGCTCACAGACCCGTGACTGACCGCACCAACCCAAACAACAGTCACTTGTTTTAGCACTTGGTCGTGTCCTAGAATATCCTCCTCGATATGCTTTCATCGTGCGCAAGACGACAATAAACCTATCCCGTCTATCCGAATAAGCCGCTTTGTATTTTTTCCGACGAAACTCGTGACGTTATGCTTTGTTCCTTGGTATCCGTTACGAAAATCAAATGTCTTTTGATTTGGAGAGGGGCCGTTTTATAAATCGGTCGTCCTATTTAATGTTGGAAAACCGGGTTTACACCTGAAAAATGTTTCTTTACTTTCTACTTTAGGGACGAGGAAACTTTTTAATACATAATGCAAAGATAAAATGCAAAGTTTCGTCCACGCTATTTATGCTGAGCTCATGCTGAGAAATTAATTGTGATATTACGTTAAAAATGTATTAACTATATTAAAATGTGTAAAATATATTATTACTACATAGATACTTTGATCCCGGAAGGGACGGAATATCTGGTTACCAATGCAACTACAACAAATTAAATGATCGTTCGTGATTATAAATTGTTGGTCGAATAATCGAGTCACGACATTTGGAATAATAAATTTAGCAATTATTAACACTATCGTTAGTCAATATTTAATAAATATCCTATTATTGCATAATACTTGAGAAATCGAAATTCGAAATCATACTTTATTGTGAATATCGAGTATTCTTGTGTAACTTTTCCGACCTCTTCTCATACTTTGTTGCACAAATAAAGCATATTTCTTTAATAAAACATGCGCAATGTTAAAAGTGTAGTTCCGTAGTCTTTTATTCATATGTTTAAAGTGATCTATAAATTTATTTATTTAAGCAATGAAATGCAATAAAAGCGAGCGCCCCTGTTATAATACTAGAAAAAAAAAGGAAAAAATTCTTTATTCGCTAATTCATGTGACCAAAGTAATTCAAGTCAACTAAATTCCTCATGGCGAAAAAAAAAACATATTAAATATGTATAAAAATCTTCACAATTCGCGATAAATCGATCTATTTATTCGAAACATGAACACCGCTGGCTGGTGTACACATAGATCAGATAAAGCTCGGGCATATGGGAACAAGGGAACCGATGATTATCGCAAGGCAAAAGTCTGCCCTTAAAGTATTACGGCAAGTATCGAATTAAGGACCACTGCTTGGGAGAAGAAAGCGCGCTCGGGAAAACTACGTATACGGAAATGGTATCAGCTTGGCTTATCGAACGCGAACGATTTCGTCGCTGATCGTGGGCGCATGCGCGTTGCTTTCGCTCGATTCTCACGCATTCTCACGGTGCCGCCTTACAAACTTGGATTTTCATTGTGCGACCCCCGCACATGAGCAACAAATCCCCAGACGGAGACCAGGTGGTTTTTCTTAGCGCTTTCGCGCCTTGCGCAATCGATTGCCTAGCCGCTCGACTTAATATATCGTACTGTCAAATTAATTATTGCCTGAATTACCGTCCCCGGTAAGAAATAATCAAGATAATAATATGAATGAATCTAAGGTGGAATGGTATCGATAATTAATTAAACTTTATGAGAGATATTTCGTTCATTTTATTACCACTTTATTTCACAAGTGATAATTGTTCGTAATGAGAACGTAAGGCTTTTTTTTTTTTATAAATTGAACATCACGTTTGTATATTTGAAATTTTTTAATATTTTATGCTTATAGCATCTTTGCGTTTCACTTATGTTAACTCACTTTTAATAATATAGGTAAGATCGTTTAATCATTCGTTTCGTCTACCAGGAGCGAGGAGGAGAGTTTTTAATAAATTCATATGAAATTACAATTACATATCGTAATTTACAAGCTTTTTAAAGCAAATTGAACGGCGTTTAATATAAAAATATTATTTACATACTCATTCCATAGACAAATCACATAGCCTCTATTTAAATTATTGCCTCTGCTAATACCACAAAAAATTTTGCTTAAAATTATAATAATTTTATTTTACATTGTTTTTTAACTTTTATTTGCAAGCGAGTAAGACACAAACGGCGTAAGGTAAAGTTAACAAGGAAGGACTCGCAAGAAAAATCTCAAAAGCTAACAAAACCATACAATTGAAGCCTATAGAAACTTCTGCTTGCCAATGAAATCGCGCACAAAGCGGCATGATAAGGAAGGGGTTGTCGCCATTACTTTTTTGCCCTTCCTGCGACACAAGCAGCCTTAAAAGAGATCGACGATGTGCTCGTATTCGTGCACGCACATGCGAGCAAAAGAAGAATAGTTCAGTTTGCTTTAACGTGACAAGGATCTTACTTTATTGTTATAGGCAACCGAGGGTTTCGTCTTCGTCGTCGGCTGCGACCGGGGCAGGATTCTTTACGTATCCAAATCCGTTTCGCAGACGCTTAATTATTCTCAGGTAAGCATCTACAATAACTGCTCGTTTCAAACACGCCGTAAATATGTAAAAAATTCTAAAATTAACTTTATTTAACATTTAAAATATAAGCATCTGTGGATGAAAACGTTATGTCACTGTTCTCAACAATACATGCTCATATATATAAAATATTTACAAAATTTTTTTCAAGATTCTTGTATAAATATTTCACTACGTAATTTTAGTGATGAAAATGTAAATGTGCATTATACTTGAAAGAAAAATAAAATCGATAACAGTCCCTGAAAATTATAAGATTAAAAATCGATACAATAAATTAAAACTCATCTTAAATATTATTAAGACTAATATTATTAAGTTTGGACATATAAAATAATCGTAGAATTTTTATAATGACATGCAAATTTATTTTCAGAATTGTAATTTTAAAAACATAATTAATTCGTAAAAATTCATACGTACACCTGAGAAGTTCAATATCCAGAACCACTTACATACCAATAAGAGTTCGAACAACCGATCTCTATGGCGACGATTGTCCTTGTCCGTGCAAGCATTATAATCCATTCGCGAATCGGTAAACGATTCGTATTCGATTCTATCGCTAGTACTGCTGATAAGGCCTCGTGATAATTAGTACTGGGTAAAAAAGCATCGATCCATCGCATTTACCTGGCATTGCATAATTATTGCCTAGCCGCAATCTACCCTAAGAAGACGGGAGCCAAAAGTGTAATAATAAGAAATGCATTTCGCCCGCGCAGCCAAAACAGTCGCATGTACTTTACGAGGCGAGGCGAGTCTAATCACTAGCCCTCTTTACACTTGAATGCAACAAACTCTATGACTCAGAGCTCATCGGGATACGCGCTTGAAATTATGCCTCCTGCGAATGCTTATTTATCCTCGACTTAATCCACTCTTGCATTTGTGCAATTATCGAAATTGCGGAAATGAAGATCGTCAAGGCTAAGTTGCAGTTTCAGAAATAAAAATTGAAAAATAGCATATTATTTATTAATTAAGAGTATATCGCGTAGAATATAATAAATTTTATTAGATAGTGTATAAGATTTCCTTATTATTGCTCAAAAAGAAAAATATTTTTCGAGGCTAAGTTCAAAATGATATTAAATTTAAGCTTTCATAGTGCATAAAATAAATTTCATTTAACGTTTCGATTAATGAAATATTATATATTTTTAAAACTGATTAATGAATGGCCTCCGGATAATAATAATGCTTCCATAATGGTAAAATTATCATGAATATGCAATAAAATGCCATTGTAAAGGGAAATAATTAAACACAAGGATTTTATGAGTAATTTGAGTGTAAAAAGGGCATAAGCCACACCCACATACGTTTACACTTTCTCGTTAAAATTCGCTCATTCCGTCGGATCACTATTACGAAATAAAATGCTATGCGATAAGATATCCTTGACCTCGGACATCCTTGCTGTTATCTCGTATCGTTTTACCTTTCTTTATTGTTCACTTTCGTTTCGTTAGTTCTGCCGTAAGAGCTGCTCAACTTTTACAAATGCAGTAATGAAAATATTAATACTTATTAAAACTATACGCAAAGTGAGATGTGCTCAAACATATAAATTCTACAAATTAAAAATGAGAAAAGCAATTTATAAAAAAACATACTTTAGTATACGGGATTACTTTTAACATTATAATAATACATGAACTAGTCAAATTAAAAAATTAAAAGAAGTAAACGATCGCTTATACAATTTTCAAAAACTCGTACAATGACGTAAATGGCTCAAAGTCACCGCTACAGCGAATGCAATCCATACTATATTATTTGCGCCCAGATAATAATTCAACTAAGCATAGCATTTTTGTTTTCATTCATAACTGCCGACGATATATTCAATGGAAAAGATAAACTTTGATGTTAAATATTAAATAGACTAATTTTAAATATTAAGCGACAATATTAAATTGCGTGTTTGTTAATTTACATTCAACTATCTATCATTTTGACCATCAAAGTTACAGGAATCTTCATTATTTATGTCTTTTGTTATGTTAAGTTTTCTAATGAACAACAGACCTGGATTTATTAATTCAGATAATTTTTATATCCACTCTGCTATAAGTACTCTTTTTCTTTCGTTCTCTTTTTTTTCTGTTCCGTGTATGCATCTGAACAGGGCGATTTACTGGGCCAGAGTTGGTTCGACATCCTCCATCCGAAGGACGTCGCCAAAGTAAAGGAGCAGCTCTCCTCGTCCGATCTCAGTCCTCGTGAACGGCTCATCGATGCCAAAAGTAAGTACAATTTCAATGGGACTTAATATAAAAGCATTATTATAATTACAAACATATTTACCGAAACCCATTATTAAAAATTTTTTAATTGAAATATCCGTATCTGTTTTTAATACCAATTTAATAAAATATACCAAAAATAATATATATTTAATGTTCAGAATAGAATATGCATGTGCTGCTTTTTATATTATATATATATATATATATATATATATATATATATATATATATATATATATATATATATATATATATATATATATATATATATATATATATATATATATATATATATATATATATATATATATATATATATATAGATATTTTATATCTATTACAGGTACATTGATGCCTAAATAAAAAAAAAAAACATAAAAAAAAGCAGCCTCATTTAGACTTATTTGAGTTATATTATTTGTAAAAGCATCGTTTGTTTTATTAATTTTAGACTTTCTCGTATTCAAATTACTTTAAATTAGATATAATTTCAAGTCGATAAATTTGATGGCTTGCATTTCCTTCGATTCTAATTTTACTTTTATAACTGTAATTCATGTTTCATTTTTCTAAAACTAAACACACATTCCTTTCCATATTTCAATACGCGCAATTACCGAACAGTTTGTAACGGCAATATTCGAATTAATATTTAAATTTATAAATAAAAATAATAATTAATTTTATTATAAATAATAAAAATCACCGTCATTAATCTCGTAATTTGTTTAACATTTTTCAAAATTAATAAAATGCATTATAATGCAAAATTTATTGCAAACATTTCAAGCTAAAATATTGTATATCTTAAAATTGAACAAAAATTATTCATTCATACATTATCACCTATGACTGCAAAATAAAAGGCCAAATAATTTTTCAATTATTTATTAACAACTCGAAGTATTATAATCGTGTGAACAATAGAAGTAGAATGTATAAATTGATCTACGCCGTTGTATATGAAAATAATTTATAAATTGAGAAAGAATTATGCAAACGCTTGTAAGAATGCGAATGCGTCCGACGAATAATCGAGTGCTCTATAAAGAAATGCAATGATAAATTGAATCGCGTCTTCTGCGGAATCATCATTGTTGATCAGAGACATGTATGTACTCTTATTTCTTCCACCTCTACTTTCTCACCGCCTCTCTCTCTCTCTCTCTCTCTCTCTCTCTCTCTCTCTCTCACCCACTCATACACTCTCTCAATCTCTCCCACTTACTCACTCGCTCACTCGTTCCCTATCTATTAATCTATCTAGGTATTTAGTTATCTTTCCCTTTTCCCTTCCTCGCACTTACTCTCTCGTTTGATCGTATCAGCGCGTACGAGCAAGATCGCAAGTTACATCATACGATTTGTATAAGATCGTTATACTGTGCGACGCTTATGTAATACGACCATACTGCGATGGAGCTACAAACTGAAGGCACTCATTGAATAGGCGCTAGAGTATGTGCGGGGGGGGTGTTTAGATAGTTAGATAGATAGATTGAGAGAGACAGAGAGAGAGAGAGAGAGAGAGAGAGAGAGAGAGAGAGAGAGAGAGAGAGAGAGAGAGAGAGAGAGAGAGAGAGAGGGAGAGAGAGAAAGTAAAGCAAAACGAAATCAATTATTTGTCGCTTTGCTCGAACGAGATCGTCGTCATTTTTCCTTCTTGGCTATGACAGAGCGTATGTCTATCTGCTGTGCGATTACCTGAAGTAAGTTGCTTGGAAAGGATACGCCCACAAAATTATCCTAATTTGGATTGGAAAAAGAATCTAAACAGTTTATTTATAATTATTATTTTATCCTTCATTATCACAGTAAATTAGTCGGAATACGATATTCATCTACAATGTATACTTGCATTACTGGACTATAATAATCTTCACAATATAATTTATAAAAAATATTCTGCAAATTGAATTCATCATTACTTGGCTTGATGATGATTCTTGGTAAAATCTTATGATTTACAACAGCAATTATTATGCACAATATTATATTGCACGGAAAAGACGAAAAGACAGTTTTATTTATTATTACGTCATTTTAACTTCTAATGGAAAATATTTACAATCTCCTCACATAATTGATTAATCAATAATAATACTATTTAATATTATTTATATTAATCATATGTAGCATATTAATCAAACATTAAATATATTCATGCAATATTCAATATGTTTGTTGAAACAGATTTAGAAAAAGAGATTGATATTTTAATAAAATAAAAATCACAACAGTATAATGAAATCTATATTATTATAATGAATTGTGATCTTTAGGGATTACTTTTGTAACGATAATTAATATAATATTTAATTAATAATATTTAATAATTAATTAATATATATTTGTGTTAAAAAAATACTTTGTATTTACTTAAAGATTCAAAGAGCATTAGAAACTTTATACAATTGTTCTCTTGCCCTTGTTGAACAGTTGAAAGTGAAAAATTACATAAATGATAAAATGTATTATTTGAAAATAAATGAAAATATTCCAGAAATGTTGTTGTTTCCTAAAAATATCACAAAAAGAATATTCAGTTTACTTATTCAAAAACTTATATAATGTATAAATAAATCATTTGTGATATTACTTATCGTAATTATTTATTGTAATATTAGTTTAAACTTGTATAATTGACGATTAGACTAAAATAGATAACAAAATGATGATTACTAGAACATGTGTCTTAATCTTTGACTACAATTTAATATTATAGATTCTTAAAACTGATTAAAAAAAAAAAACCATTATAAACCATTTCAATTTTTTTTTTTTATTTTTTTTTTTTTTTTTTTTTTTTTTTTTTTTTTAATATATATGTATATAATTATGCGATTATAACAATTATTACAATATGATATTCGCACAATGTCTTACACTTCTATTTTTCGTAATAAAAAGAATGAAATTTGTTCATATAAATAATAAGGACTTTGCTTTAACTTTAAATGTCCATCGAAATGCAAAATCACCACACAGATACATTTGAACGCAATTTTGTTTAGATAAGTACGATCAAACATGCCCGATGAAAATTGTACAATATTTTGTATACTATAAAGTATCTCTAGTACCATAAAATAGAATAAAACCATTTATAGTCTAATGAGCCGATGATTGAAAAGTCTGTTGATATTAAGAGGAGTTTTACTTTGATCTTCGTTCACGAGTATTTTCCACACTGACATTTATTTTGAATGAAATATATCGTTGTAGACTGAAATATTTAATTGCGATTATGATTTATTTATGGGACCAATCAATTTGTTACGCATTATTAAATAAAAGTTGTACACAATTAAAATGAAATAAATCAACATTTGTGATACATTTATTTATCGATGAATAATAAACGTGAATATTTTTATTTAATGATTATATTAGTAATTTAATAAAATTATAATTTATATTTAATGAATCTCTTATGATATAATTTATACTAGAATGAATCCTTTCCTTTCGAATTAATGATTTAATTTATAACTGTAATTTGTGTATATTATATAATTGTATATTATATCACATATATAGGGGATAAAAATTAAAACAAAGTTTCCACTTTGATAATATTTTGCATAAAAAATGTAGAAAATATATGTGGAATGACTTGATATGAATCTCAAAAATTGATATGAATGTATGCGCGCGTGAATGTTCAATATACTATTTACAAATTTATTTACTCTTAATTATTTTCATAATTATATTGTACTTAATAATATAATTTATAAGTCTTAAATTCAATATTTCCACTGAATTCCTTTTTTTTTATTTCTACGGAATCAGTTTCGTATTACTCTATGGTAATAAATTTAAAGAGTCTACAAATAAATTTTACACTAATCGTTACTTTATATTTTAAAAACTTGGAAAGTATGAAAATACGAATTCCTTTTTAAAGCACAGTGATTAGGATGTTAGTCGATAAGAAAGAACTCTTCGTTTCATAGGACATTTTGTGTTCTATCTAATAAATAAAATGTAAAAAAAAATGCCATAATTATATTACGTAGTTAGATTATTATATTGAGCATTAAGTCACTCAAATCCTCAGATATCTTATGCAATATACGAACTGAATAAACAAAGCATCAAACAATGTATTTGAAATTAACTACTTAATTATAAAGCAGAATGCCTACCTACACATTCTTTCTAATCATAAAATTAGCAATGCTCCCGGTGAAAACCGACGTTCCTCAAGGCGTGTCCAGGCTTTGTCCCGGTGCCCGACGTTCCTTCTTCTGCAGGATGAAACGGAAAGTCAATACGCGATGTGCCGAGTCGCAAATCAAGGAGGAAGCGGACACGACGACTGGTTGTCACAGGAGAAAAAAGCAACAAAATCATGGTGAGCTTACGGCTTAAAGTCATTCCGTATATTATGAACGGCTTAAGCTAAATTAATGCGAGCGAATTTTCTTTGGTGGTCTCTTGCAATCAATAATCGTAATATTAATGGAAATATTAGCAACAGAGGAAGTTTGAATAATTGACGGATAAATCGTGCATGTAATTAATAATGGGCGTAAAATGTTGAAACGCTAATAAACATTTAAAAGAGCTTAACTTTCAAGTAATATATTTAGAAATGAATAGAAATTAATCCATCAATATTGAAGCAAAAATACAAGCATTTGTTACAATAAGAACGTAAAATAATATCATAATTACATAATTATTATATGGATAATTATATATATATATATATATATATATATATATATATATATATATATATATAGATAATACATTATACCTCGAAATAATTTCAAATAATATTATTATATATAAAATTACTAGAGACTAAATAATATCGTTTTACGTATATTATTTGTATATTGATATTAATGTAAATATTATATGAAATTATATACCAACGATAAATATAATTGTATGTGTTAATTTTAACTCCATTATTTCTTTGTCAATAAATTATCAATATATTTAAAAATAAAACTTTCCATTGATCGAGAATCACTATAATTTTGAAGTATCAAGGTGCCGTAAGATTTTAAGCCAGTTACATCGATCTTAGCTAGCAATGAAAGAAGAAAGAGAGAGAGAGAGAGAGAAAGAGAGAGAGGGGGGGGTACTTATTCCTTCTCTGCAATGCTTCAAAGCGCATATTTAATTCATACTTATTCATTATTAAAAATTACTACCGTCACTTTTTCAAAATCTATCAAATCATAGCTTTTTAAACACAATCACACTAATATGAAAATGGAAACGATAGAATTTTATATAAAAAAATCGAATTAAATTCTCGAATTAAAGACATTCATAATATTACGCGAAAACAGTCAATTTCTGGAAAAAGTATTTTATAATGAAAAAAAAAAAAAGAAATAGCACATTTTTATATTGTACAATTTTATAAAATTAGAAATAAAAAATAAAAAATAAAGGTTAACAAAAGAGAATCCTCGTTGAAGCTAGATAAATGAATAAGTAAATATTAATAAAAAATCTTATAGGTGATGCGAAAATTATATGCATAAAAATTAATATAAATATTTTAATTTAAGCAATTCGCTAATTCGATATTTTAACGTACACGATTCAGAAAATCCCAGATGTTTATTTCGATGTCATTAAAATTCAAGGACCCGACTTTTAACAATCATCCTGGAAAATCGATGCGATGAATAGACGAAGCAAAAGTATATAAAAGCAAATAAGTCTACTGAAAAGGTTGTTATTCGTATTTTCGGCGAGGGTGAACAAAATTACCTTTCTTATGACAAAGAGTTTCTTCCAAGTAAAAAAAAGTTTTAGTGCATAAAATTTTATGTTTTTATTAATTATCATTCATTGGCATTGAATATCATTTATGATTTACAACTTTTTCTTACGTGTCGATTAAAATATCTTTCCGACAGACAAGTATTTTTCATTAAAATTAACATTACATATTATTGTTATGTATAAATAATTCAATATTAAGGATTTAATATTTAATATTTAATATTCAATTATTATTAATAAATATTTATAAATATTTATGTGCTCGTAACTTTACGGAAGATATTTTTTTAAACAATATTCTTTTGGGAATAGCTTAACCATTTTTAAAAAATTCATAAAAACACAATATTTTTTATTACAAATTGTAACTTTTCATATTAAATATGAATGTGACCGAGAAAGGTAGTAAAAGTGTATTATCGATCAAATAAAGAGAGATGAAAATGATTTTAGATTTAAAGTAAAAATATGGCTTTAAAAGTGCGTATTTGTATAATTAATAATAGAATTTTGCAGATATCAATAATCATATTAATTATAAAAATCTTAACATACGTCGATCGATTACTGGCTCATACCTTTTAATTTTACGCTTAATTACCAATGATGATATCTTGATTGATAATACACATTTAACGCGTTATTGAAGTCCACCGAACCATGCATTAATTTCAAAATTAAATTTATAATTTACTAACGACGGTTTTGGATTTAGAATGATCGAACATAAGAAAAAAACTGACTTTCTTAAGAATCTTTTTATATTAACATGTAGATATAAGTATTACGTTAGTAATTTATAGATTATTACGTTCGAAAATTCTAAATATTAAAGGAACTTAATGAACTCAAAATACAAGCTCATGTATTTGTATATCAAAAGAAACGATTAATTTTTATTATTTTCATAAATACAGTTATCTATATTTAGCTTATTCAAACCAGTTATTTCTATTAAATTATGTTGCATGAGAAAATTTGCTATTACACATGTTTTTAACGTTATGTGATTACTAAACTGCAAATCTTATGCATTTCATCGAGTTCTATAATTTCTCTAAGTGCAAATCATTATACGTACGATAATTCTTTTTTTTTTTTTTTTTTTTTTTTTTTTTTTTTTTTTTTTTTTTAAATCATAATCTAGTATTTTACACACTCATAATAATAATAAATATTCTATATTATTATATTACGTTTATATTTCTACCATATTTATTATTCGATTAATTTTTTTTTTTTTGTTTATTATATTACACATCTAATATTATATAACATCTAAAATGTTTATTATAGCAGCTTCTTTACAAATTGTACTTAAAACATAATTATTGAAAAATCTAAATATCGCAAATAAAAGTACGAATGATTTGAAAAATTATTTCAATCGTATTTCATGGTTGAATAAAACAAATAGAACCGTTTTGCAAATTTTTCTTAAAAGTATAACACAGGTAAACATATTATACGCTCATTTTAAAAATTATGATTGAATAGCTATTTAGTCGTAATGACGCCTAGAGCCGATAATTATCATAATACATTTAACATACTTTTAAAATTCTAATTGTTGTTAATTTTTCAAATTATAATATTGAATTCTAGTATATTCCTCGTTTTAAATTGTAATAGCTTCTGACGTTTCAAAATTGAAGGAAAGTAAATAAAAAAATATTGCAATCATAGTACTAATATGGAGTTAATGTTTGGTATTATTTATAATTAATTTTATTCTGTGCATTTACATTTCTTTATTAGATAAAAAAGAAATCGCTAATATTAAACTAATGTCAATGTCGCACGAGAAAAGCTTGGCCAGAGGCATTTAAGCAATTTTGTTCTTTGCGCCCTCAGACTGGAAGTATTGCGTAATTCAGTGCACGGGTTACCTCAAGTCCTGGGCCCCAGCAAAAATCGGCCTTGAAGAGCAGGAGACAGATGTCGACGACGAGGCCTGCAACCTCTCGTGCCTCGTAGCTGTCGGTAGAGTGCAGGTACCCTTCGTTGCCCCGTCCTCGACACCTCGGCGACTGAGACTCCGGACCATCGAGTTTGTCTCACGCCACGCCATGGACGGCAAGTTCCTCTTCGTAGACCAAAGGTAAGTTGCCTTTCGAGCTCATCTTTATTTCATTATAATATAGGACTTGTTAGCACACTGTTCTATATAGATATTAGAGGGTAATAATAGAATGAACGAAACTGCAATGTTCCTGTCCAGATCATGTTCGTCAAATTATAGTAAAATTCATATTCTGCTGGCGTAGAAATTTCTTGACTCATTTTATCAAGGCGAAGAAGAAATGAGTGATAAAAATTATCGACTAAATAAGAGGTCATGCAATGGCAAATTTCATCATGGTATATCATAGAACGATTTTAAATAATCCAAAAGCCTGAATGTGAATTATGAAGAATAGGTGCTCTAAACCTGTATTTTATTAAATCGTTATTTTATTAAATATTGCGTTACAAACAATTAAGTCATAATTAATTTAAGTATTAAAAAGATAAACTTCTTGTATTTGGAGTTTAAGATTAAATTCAGCAAAACTATCGATAACATTGAGGTTTTGTACATACACAATACGCAATTGTGATAACGAAGTTTCATTATTTGACAAAAGTTTTAGTTTCTTAAAAAATCAAAACTAAGAAGAATTGACATTAAAATAAGTTTTTATTTTTTTACGTTTTATGATTAATTATTAAACGTTTAAGTGTCTTAAAAAATTATTATTTTACTTTTGTTTCAATAAACTTTTGATTTTTATATTCTAATATCGTATTACTTTTCAACTTAATTTAAAAAATTAGAATTTCATTAGACGATAATATATATATATATATATATATATATATATAGATTAAAAATTGTTTTTTCAAATAATACTGTATTTTATTATTTTATATTTTATTAAAATGTTTGTCTTTGAACATAAATTGATTTAATTTAAAATGAAAAATACATGCTAATAATATTGATTTTCATTCCACCAAATTTATCAGAGCCACATCGGTTTTGGGATTTCTTCCTCAAGAATTATTAGGAACCAGTATGTACGAATATTATCATCACGATGATATTCCACATCTGGCGGAATCACATAAGACAGCACTTCAATCATCCGAACGTGTCACAACTCAGGTATATTTTGTATATATACATACATAGAGGCAGAATATTAGAATACTTTAGACATTGAACTTAAATTTCCTAGGTATATAGGTTTCGAAGTAAAGCTGCTGGTTTCGTTAAATTTTGCTCAGAATGGAAATCATTTAAGAACCCCTGGACCAAGGATATTGAATACCTCATAGCTAAAAATTCGGCTGTCTTGTAAGTAATGAAAATAAAAAAAAATCCCAATTGATTAAAATTTGCATGAATGTTGATAAATTCATCATAATTATTCGTAACAAATAAACATTACATTGTATCAAATAATTTTCATAAAAATCGTTTTGTAAAAAATATTTGTCTCAGTTCGGACACACGACAAGTGGAAAGCAGCGCAAGCCGATCTGAAGGAGGTAGTGTTCAAGAAAACTATGACTACTTCACGCAAAGTAATATACAATAATTGCATAAATGTTTTAAAATTGAAAACTAATATATATTTGTTAAAATTTTAGAAATACAATGTTGATTGAATTGTTAAGATGTAATAAGTTTCGTGTACATTAAACAAACATTACTTATTTTAAATGCACAGTCAAATGTCATTTATCTTGTGTTAATTTTTTCAATTTCTAAATATTGATGAGATTAGGATTGCGATGATATAATTATTATTGTAAAAATAAATTATTTAAACAATAACGTTTATCTACTTTTTATTGCTTTTAAATATAATTGCTACTTTTTTGTCAAAAAGTATTAGATTTTAAGAATGTGTAATAAATTTATTAACTTGGTTTGTTATTAATTTCTTACTTTAATTATTCATCCGACCCTATGAATAATGACAACGAATTTATGGATGAATATTGTATTGATTGCAGGTTTTTTCTGTGTATATTATGTATGAATCATTTAAAATTCCTTGCACTCATTTATACGTAATCCTTTTCAAAAGAACAATAATTTCATTGCACAATGATTTCATAAGAAATCACGACTTACATTGTTAAATTTGTAAACGAGAGTTAGAAATTTCACTAATACTTTTAGACTTCTAATATGCATTCTTTTTCAATTTATTATTTTATATGGAAATAAATATGTACGTATCATTTATTCGAAATATTAAAATGAAATATTTTCCATGTAAAGTGCATAAATATTTACAACAACAAATGAGGTTTAGTTTTAAAAATATTGTAATTATTTTTAAAAAATTGATGATAATTAATTTTATTTTTGCTATTAAAACACTCGAAGATACAATATATTAATTTTAAAAAGTATAAGATTTTTTTAATTAATAGAAATTACATCTTTTATAGCAAAAGTTTTATTTATCTATATGGAGTATATGATATGATTCATAATATTTATATTATTGAAGTTGAAAAATAAACACATTTTACAATAAAAATTTAATCATTGCTCATGATTTATTATAAATCATATATTAAGAATTATAATAAAAAAAAATTAATTAATATATTATATTAAAATATACTATATACATAAATATAAATTAATAAATATTTAGATGAGCAGATTTTTTAATTAAACGATAATATTGCCAAGTATTTTATAATTTAACGAAAAAATCAATAAAATTTCGGAAATACCGTCGTTTTAGATTTAAATAGTCCCTTGTCACTAATAACATTAAATTTGAAAAATAAATAAGAATAAACTGATAAGGAATTATTTTGTAGGTAACGGTGAACTAGAAAGGCTAATATCGAGTCATGTGGAAGTAAGTAAGATTGGACGCCAAATAGCGGAAGAGGTTCTAGATCTTCAAAGACGAAGCGATCAAGATTCATCATCAGGTAACAGTCCAACGCCCGCGCCAGAATCTACTTTACTCAATACCGAGGTAAATAATGCAAATAATATTAAGCCCAATTGAGATAGGTAAAGCAGTGGCAATGTTTAAAAGATTTTATCAAATTGTTGTTTATCCAAAGATATAATACGACTGGGATTAGCGGGAGACTAATCGAATGTTTTTAACATTAATAATTATTCGATAACTAGTAGAAATGCGATTATGGAGAAAAAAAGCAAATTGCCAGCTTACCAACTATTAATTTCACTTGTAAAATGATATCAAGATAATTCATAACTGATAACGAACTTTTTTCTTTATTCTTTTTTCTCTTTTCTTAATAAATTTCGCATAATTTAACAATATTGCTTCCATTGCATTAATGAACGACATCGTTAAAGAGTTTTCATTAATGAATTTTTTATTCGCAAGTCCCAAATAACAACAACAGCCTCTCCGGAGCAGGCCTCCGAGGTTCACCAGCTAATAGGTAATGAGAACAGTAGTAGTAATCCCGCAACGACGTATAATCACTTGAGCAGCAATGTGCAATTAAACATTATCGCTAATGATCAAGGTACGTTTTATTCTAGTATTGATTATTTCCTTTCTAATTTAATTATTGATTGTTGATTAATTTAAACGCTATATTGATCCAGAAATTAATTAACATATTGATCATTTCATAAAATTAATTTTAGTGTATATTAAGACTGAGATGCAATTACAAGTAATAATGATAATATACATTGATCAAGAGCATACGGTAATACATATGCTGGTAATTACAAATATTCATGAATTTTTCCGTAGCGCAATGCAATATACGTCGCGAGAATCGAATTCTTTCATATTGTTAATTTCATATTGTTATTTGTTAATATTGTTCATTTGTGGCTATATATTTCGAGCAATCGTTGTTTTTGATATTTTACCATTCAAGAAGTTTGAAATAATTTCTTCTATCAAACTTTACGATTGCGAAAATTACAAAATTTACTTATAACGTCATTTATGAAATTATGATAAATTGTACGAAAATTTTTTTCTAAAAACAACACATCTATGAAGAAATTTCTCAATAATTTCATTAGCTCTGCTATTCTATAATACTGTATAATCTAACATTTATTTTTGTATATAAAGAGAAGCCCTTTCACTAATCGATCGAACATCCTAACTAAAATTACTATTACTATTTATATTACTATTATTGCATATATCATTGCAAATAGGCTGAAATGAGAGATAACCAGGCATACAGGCTGATTAATAAAAGTAAAATAAATGTCATAAACAACGATAAAAATAACATTGATTCATGAGTAAATATGTGTGTAAAGATGCCAAAATATCCAAAGGAAAACTGATTTCTTTTCCATTTCTTAGAAGCGCCTGATTCGCGAGTGTGAGCGCGTAATTGAAAAACTAGATATTCATTGTCTGGATATTCGAGAGTCGCGGTATCATTGTAATCGGTTCTTATTTCCAGAGCCGTCGGGCGAAGAGGACATGATGGAAATGATCGGTGGCACAACGATCGGGGAGTCGTCAAACCCGGTACCGAGCGACGGCAACGACGAAGCGGCAATGGCTGTGATAATGAGTCTACTGGAGGCTGACGCTGGACTCGGCGGACCCGTTGACTTTTCCGGACTGCCCTGGCCCTTGCCCTAGCGCCAACCTTCCTCATCACCGTTTCATCGCATCGATGAAGCGTACTACTCTGCGACCTTGCCAACTCTTTCGTTTCGATAGTTACTATTGGCTCTTGTATATTCTCTCTTTATTTTTCTCTCTTTTTTTTTTTTTTTTTTTTTTTTTTTTTTACTGGGTAGTTCGATTACAACTGGACAACTTTCGTTTTAACGGTTCAGATAAAAATATTCAGCACGCGAAACAATTAGGCAAAAAACAAACAAACAAACAAACAAACAAACAAACAAAGGCAAGAAGTAGTAGCTTCGATTTTTCCCTGCGTGGTTAATTTTTAAAAATACATCCGATGAAAATTTTCATGCTTATATGATTCGTACCATTAATCTATAAGTCATACTTTAATAATTGATCTCCGTAGTACTGTTTAAATACAATTGTTACGTAATGCAAGTTGCATAACATAAATTAGATTACTTTACGCCTATAATAGGACGATTGTAATAATCCCAAAATCTCCCAACACGTCTCAATTATTACGTAATATTTATTATGTCAGTTATCAATCAATAACATTACAAAGTCTTTTTTTTTCACTTAAGTAATACCTTGTTTTTACATTGGAATAACAATATTCCTTAATTTTTAAATATTTTATAAAATAACGATTATATCGATTAACTAAATTTATATAAGTAATAATTGAAGCTTGAAAGATTATAATTTTATTGTACATATTTGTAAATCGAACATTTTTATTACAAACCATCGAATAAATATGTGTGTACGGCAAGCGTTTTCAAAATTTTTTCTCAACTTATTTCGTGTATAAATTAAATTTTTTCAATCATTCGATAATTACACTTTTACAAATTGTTATTAGGATTATGAAATTAATTAAATTATCTAATTTCTAATGCATTTGAATTAATCACAAATTCACTTTGGATATAATCTCGATATTACATCATTATTATACTGCCTTGTTACTATTGTGTTATAATACAGTATTTTTCCTTAATTTTTAACATATTATGTAATAAAATTATATTATTATAACAAAGCTTTCACACACATTACTTATTAAATACTGGCGTTATTTTTTCTACAAAGAAATTTCTTAAAGGTCTTAATTTTATTTAATACTATAAGAACGTTTGTCAAAAATACAAAAATATTCATCATTAATTGATACAATTGATTCTAATTAATCAAAAATATTTGGAAATTCAAATAGATTGTTAATTAAAATTATAAATAAATGAATAATTATAGAACTCTAAAATTAATAAATCCTTTAAAACGCAATATTTTTATGTCCAAAAATAATATGATTAAAAATATATTGTTATAAGAAAGTTTTTAAAATTTCATATGCAAAATGATAATCTAACGTTCTTTATTCCGTTTCAAAATAACATTAATAATCTCTTGTCACAACATTATATATTGTTGTATATGCAAATACATATTATTTGGTCATTAAATAATATTATTCTAATACCTACTTGCTCATACGGTTTTATTTGCATCAAAATAATAATTTTAATTATTCATAATTGAAAGTTCCTTTATTGTAAAAATATATTAAACATAAAAACGTCAAATGTGAGCAAATAGTTTGCTTGTTAAGAAATCATTTTACATATATTTTTATATATCGATATTATAGATAAAAACTATTTTGCTTAAACATTATAAAAAGTTTTGTCATTATTTTGAATTTCATTATGTAAGTAAAAAGTTTTAAATATTTTCTAATTACTTTAAACATTAAAAAAATTATTTTCTGATTGTACATTCGATTTCTCAAAGCTAATATTGCTCAATCAAATTAACAATGGTACATTATACGTTATGTTACTTTATGTTGATACTGTCGGATTTAAACTACATGATTAATTCTCATAATCATAAAATGATTCTCATAATCATAAAATGATTCTCATCAAATACATTTTCTTTATACAATAAAATATAATATTGAATAGTTTCGTTCGATATTTAAGCAAATGTGCCATTGGCAGTTTAGTCTAATTGTTCACAATTGTTTAAACTCATAGACTGAAATTTGTAATGCTCATGATTTGCCGAAAATGATAAAATATATAGACTAGGCAATAGTTGTTGTAAAAAATTGCTTAACAAACCAAACGTTTATATATACAGTAATGCAGTATATATATATATATTTCGTCGTAGTAAATACTGTATAAATTATGAAATTTTAATAAATATTTGTCAACGTTGGTGTTGTAATATCTACACGTAAAAACTTTTTAATGTTATGTATATATTATATATACATCTATGAACACACAATGTGCGTAAAAACTCTGCCGTAATGTATATATTATATATACATATATAAGCACACAATATGTGCAAAAACTACGTGTACCTAATTAAATTATAAGAATAATAATTATTATGTGGAGGCAGTTTCTAATCGAAAAATGTGCATATTCGTATGCTTTTATCTTAATTTACAAAAAAATAGGAATAAAAAAATAGTTAAATTTAAGTAAATAAATGTTTTCTTGAGCGATTTTAGTAAAAGAAGAAAAAAACTATGAGGTATTGATCTAAGTATACATTTACAAATCATAAAATATATTACAATGTATTTGAATATATTTTATTACATTAATATTTATTACATTATGTATAAAGTATATAGTAAACAAAAAATTATATATAAAAACATATAATTTAAATATTCTGTCCTGTGGTATAGTTGTATATATAATTGGAATAATACATAATTTATGTGATTATATGTAACTCACAATTATTTTAGCTTTTATGAAACATAATTTCTTATTAACTAATTAAAATGATAATTTACAGATACATTTAGTACTTTGTTTCTTCAAATGCGTACTTATAAAAATTAATTATAATTAATATATTAAAGAAAATTATAGGACTACTTTTTAAAATTTGGCATATGTTACCATAATAAACAAGACGACAAATACGTCTTTAAAGAATTTTATTTATGTTTGTAAGAATTATAAAAATGGAGAAACAAGTATCTTTAACAAGTTTAATGAAATTATTTGTTTTTCTATTTAATAATAAATAACTTTTATACATATTCAATTATAATAAATAAGAAAAAAATAAAGAAGAAACTAAATTTTACAATAGGCGTTTTAAATGTTCTTTAATGCATGAAAAAATAATTAATCGTGTAATATTGTTTTTGTATTATTGTACATGTATGTATAAATGTGTTTATATTGTGATTATGTAATTGTTGAAATACATAATTATTGTATTTCTTATATGACATAAATTCAAATTGTACCAAAGGCAAAATAGTAAAAAGAATATTTAAAAAGATTTGTAGCAATTTAAAAATATATTACTTATTAAAGCTATAAAAATAAGTAAAATATTTTCATTTATTTAGCTATTCTTCCGTGTAAAAATATATTAAACAATTTGTTTTGTTTGTATGTATATTCGTTTATTTAATATAGTATTTAATTTTGAAGATGTATAATAGATATTAATTGTGAATATAATTATATAAAAAAATATAATTAGTGATTCAAGTTTATTAAAATTATTTTAAATTACTGAATTTAATTGAATTTATTAAATTTTAAAATCCACACACAAATAATATTGCACGAATATTGTGAATTTACGTACTAAAAATACATTCCTATTAAAAACTTTCTTTGTGTAAGCTTATGAATTAAAATACAATTATCAGTGGTAAATTATTTTTTTACATTAATATTTTAATAGACCATTAATTAAAAAATTAGAAATATTATTAGCTAACAAAGGTAAATTTTAGCTCTATGTACATAAAACAGGTTTCTTGTATATTGAAAAAAAAAAAATAAATCATTTTTATTATTAGTTACTATTTTCTTTATTGTATTTTTGGCACTTGCAAGTTAATTTTCATGAGCTTGAAGTTAAATTCCTTTTCAAACCTTAAAAATAGAATGTAAATTGTTTTTAAATAAAATTCTAATAGCTTTATATTTTACATTACTATCACGTTTTTCACGATTATTAATCAAGCTGAGATCAACATCATTTTGATTTGTTACAATCTCGATTAAACCTTTCATTTAATTTTTTGTATCTTCACTATTCAATGTTGTCTGGTTTGTTTCTTTTTTTTTTTTTTTTTTTTTTTTTTTTTTTTTTTTTTTTTTTTTTTTTTTTTTTTTTTTTTTTTTTAACAAATTGACATATTATTTCTTTATTTTCTGATTGAAAATATATTATGTAACAATATCTTTTTCCTTTGTAGTTATCGTTTTTACAAAGTACTTGCCCTTAACTTCTCTTTCTTTATCTGCTTCAATTGTAACTAATAGTGGATCAATTCAGATTATTCATTTAATTCTGATGATTTATGTTTTTTTTTATGTTTCTTTTGTTTAGATACTTTGAATTCTGAACTATTTTCTATATTATCTGTTGTTTCAAGTTGAACAAAAGATTTTATAGAGGACTTATGCATACGTTTATCTTCTGTATCCATAAGGTTATCATCATTTTCCAATGATATTTTTTTCTTCTTTGACTGTTTTTTTTTCTCTATAAATTCTACATTATTACATTTATTTATGTCTAAATTGTTTGAAACATCATTATTCACATATTTTTTAAGGGTTTCCCCATCTTCGGTATCCACAGATATTTTGTCATTTGTCCTCTTTTTCTTTTTCAATGGTTTATTTAGTATTTTACATTCTATACTATTAAACTCGTTTGATTCTATGTTATCTAACATATTCTTCTTTAATGATTTTTTATATATTCTTTCATCTTCAACATCATTGGTTACACTGTGATTTCTTTTTTTCTTTTTTGATTGTTTATTAGAATCTTTACATTTTAAATTATTCAAGTCATTCGAATCTAAATTGTCAGACAAATTATAACTTGAAGATTTTTTATTTATTCTTGCCTCGTCAATATCATTTTCCTCGCTCCTTTCGCGTTTCTTTTTTCGTTTTTTCGACGAAATTGGATACAATTGCATATTTGATTCTGAATTTTCTATTAATTTGTCCGAAGAATTCTGGAATAATTTATTTTCTTCATCCTCCCTATTATTTAATGTGTCTTTTGTAATAGAATTTCTTTTCCGTTTTGTTGAATGAGCTTTTGATATTTCTTCCTCGGATTTTATATTACTTTCAACAGATTTTAAATTTTCCATTAAAAATTCATTCTGTTCTTCGTTTTCTGTATCAAGTCTTTTCTTTCGCTTTTTACGTTTCTGTTCCAATAATTCTGATTCTAATTCACAAATAGATGAAGATTTTCTTTTTCTTTTCTTTGGTGAAATTTTAATTGGTTCTTCAATATAATGAAACTCTTGCTTTAATTTTTTAGCAGATTTCTTTTCAGAATCACTTAATAAATTAACCTCTGTATCAGAATAATTAAAAATTATTTTTTTATTTTTCATTTTCGACTTATTTTTAACAGCTCTGCATTCTTCTTTAATATTCCCATTGTTACTTTTATTATATTCAGATTCATAAGTAGATGCAATTTGCTCGTCAAATGGTTGACAGCCATTCAAATATTCTCTAAAGTTTAAATTTATTTATATCATTTATAATCGTTAATCATATAATAAACTACAATAATCATTTTTATTTTAAATGCAATATACTTACTCTTTATTTAATGAACCACGAATATATGGAAGCCTTGTTGTATAATCTATTTTATCAAGTGTAAATCTTATTTCTTGGCCAACTTTTACTTTATTACCAGGCCAATCTTCCTCATTTTCAGTATCGTCAGGTTTAGGTAAAGAAACATTAAAAGCTTTATGAACTAAAATACCTATATGTTTTGTACCTTTCTTATTTACAAAACCTAGAACAGCATAATAAAATTATAATCGTGCATTTTATTTAGTGCAAAACTATAAACAGTTATAACAATATTTGATTTTATAAATAATATAGTTATTATAAATAAATTTATATATAAATAGATGAACTCTTATTTTTATGAATAATAACTTTTATATTCTTTATACTATCATTCTGTTTAAATTTAATTAGAATTAAAAAATAAAGTGCCGAATTAATATAATTTTTAATATTTTATTTTACAAAAATATAAAAAAATATTGATTTAAAATTAATTTAAACCTTTTAAACTTCGTCCTATCTCTGGTTTAAAAACATAAAAATCTGCTTCAATATCTATATGTACAAAACATGTATCATATAATATATCTCCTAAAGGAGATAAAATTTTTGGATTCTTGTAAGCTAATAATAAGCCGTTCAATCTGAAAGTGAAATTAATGTTTTTATCTATTTTATAACAAATGTTAATATTATAAAGGGAAATAGATATCAAAGTAACAATGTTCTCAATATTTCAAATAAATTAGAATTTTTATTTTTACTTACTCCGAGTCATAAAAATTGAGACTGGCGTTAAGAATTTCTCGAAGGGCTTCGTTCAAGTTGGTTAAATGAAAAGGATGGAGTCCCAAATGCTTTTGAACTTTTTCTAAATAAACACAAGAATCCACGTCCTCTAATAAACCTCTTAATTCCAAATTTGTCCATTGTATACCAGTTATTGTTTTAAACCCCATTTCAAATTTAATTAGTAAAAAAAAAAACTATAAAATAAGTTTCGCCGCTAATAATTCCTAATGTTAAGGTTATGTACCAGAGAAACCAAACATACTACACGTGTGAATTCATGATACTTGTAATATACATAATAACTTATTAAAGAATCATTAAATTTTAATATAATTAAACTTTTTGAACCTTCTGTTTTATAAACTACATATATCTCAAATTAAAATTTTACTTTCTATACCTGATAGACTACATCTTTATAAACACGTTTACTCTTATAGTACTATCTTTGTCTTAAAAATAAAATAAAAAAAAAAAAAAAAATCAGGAAAGTAAATAAAGGAAATTTAAACATTAATTGTTATCATGATGCACGTAAATGATTATCATATGCCTTTGAATAAGCAAATATTAGATCGCATGTATTAAATATTTACACTAATACTTTTATTATTTAATATATTACGTTCAATTTTCTAATGATATACACAAACGCTCCAAAATATCAAATAGTCATTTGTATAGAATTGTAAATAAATATATATATATATATATATATATATATATATATATATATATTTGCACAAGTGGCTAGGTGTGGGTGTGTGTGTTGTGCGCCTGTGAATTTTCGATTTCGACCACTATGATTTATTTAATTAACATTGAAATAATTATTAATTAAAAATTTATTTCATTTCATAATTAATTTTTATATTAATCATTAATAATTAATATTTAGTTTAATAATTAAACGTTTATTAACTTGAAATCAACGCTTAGATTTCTTTAAAATAAAAGTAACTGACAAATTGAATTTTAATATTAATACTAATATATCTGAATTTCAGATTGTTGGAACTCTCTAGTAAAAAATCATTTTCTAAGTAATGTGACAATAACATAAGCATATTTCATTTCAACGAACTTAAATATATAGTATTCATTTTCATCTTATCTATAATCGAAATTATAAAGCTACATGGACATTACAACTAACAATAATGAAAATATCAACAACAATAACAGCAACGATAACAATACCAGCAACAACAATAGCAATACCTATTACATCAGACCTTTTTGAAAAGATTCGAAACGATATTATAGATAAAATATTGTTGATCTATATGATTTGTTGATATTTGTTTCAAACATTAAAATGAAGTTGATTTATAGAATTTATAACTTGAAGCGAAAGCGAATGTATATAGAATACTCTATCATTGTATAAATATGCATATTTTTGTTTAATAAATTAAATAAACATTTTTGGAGTCGTATTTCTAGCATAATGTAATCTATGTATTATTTTATTTATTTACTATTTTATTTAGCTATTAAGCATTTATTTTTCATAAAATATATTTTAAGTGGTTATCATATACCTGTGTGCCGTCCGTATGAAGAGAATAGACCTTTAGGTGGATGCATTGACACAATTGCGGTTTATAATTTTGGGTATTTGAAGCTATCAGCAGTATTTCAATGAATTTAGCAGCCTCAAGATTTTTTGAATTCTACCTGATCAGGAAAGCTTGAACAATTCTAGAGAAAAAAAGAAAAAGATGAAATTCACCTAGTACGCACATCGTAAAATATTTGACAATTTGATGCATCAAATCATCGCCACACTCATAATACGTATAATAATAATAAACCAATTGCAAACATTACTATAAACAAATTAGTATTACTGTATGTAACATTTACTATGTAGTTGTTTTTGTTTTATCAGTGACTTTTCTAAATGCTTTATAATGAAGGATGAACGATTATTAAAAATTAAGCATTATAACTAATATTAATCAAAATTGAGAAACCTATTTTATATTTTCTTATTAATTTTTTAAAAAAATATTTATTAATTGCATTTTATCACATTCTTAACCACATTCAATATATATATATATATATATATATATATATATATATATATTAAAATATAACTTTTCAAAAATACTTAACATTGTCAATAATGCTAAGCACATAAAGTACAAAAAAATAGCGAGAAAATTTAAATCAATTTGCTATTTTTCAGAAAATAACGATCTTTAGAAAAGCATTTTTAATTTTATATGGAGTTACCTGCGAAGCTTATTGTTAGACAGTTTGAAAATTTACCTGAAATAGGTGCGGTACAACATCTCCGCACATATATTTATCTCATACCTAGTATATACTTGATAAAGCTTGAAACCTAAAGCACATCAAATTATTCATATAATAATCACTATTTCAAATTGATATGTTAGGCTTGTCAATTGTTAAGTGAACATCAATCTATGTTATGATAATGAACCCTTTTTTATTTTAATCAAATAGTCCTATATAGACACAGAATATATATATATATATATATATATTGTTTATGCGAATGTAAAAATGGGAGATTGTACTTTATATTATGATGTATATGTTAAATATAAATGCAGGAATTTTTAAATGTATTGTTAAGGTATATCATAATGTGAGTTTTAATGTTGAGCTACGGTAAGGTGATCGGCGCACGAGTAATAAAATAAATGCACCTAGTTATAAATTTGTCCTAAAAAGAAGGGAAATTCGGAATATATATAGCCGAATTTGCTACGATTTAGCCAAGATCTCAAGGCTCGTACCTGATAGCCATCTAACTTAATCCTCGTCTATTTATTAATGACGGCATAGCAATGACCACATATAAATACTCAACATGCAAATGATCCATCCGAGAAATGGTCAGTGTATCGGCAAAGAAAGGATACTTACCTGTTCACCTAGGTACAGAAGAAAGAGAGATGGATCTTTTGAACAGTCTATAAGGCGATAATTTTCTCGACACTTTAGCTTCGTCTACCGACCGAGACGGCATTTGTCCGAATAAAGTTTTCCTTTTCATTAGTCTCAATTAATTTATTCGCTATTGTATTTAAAAACCTTTAAAAATTATAATTTCACTTTCTTTGGGTGCGAACTCCAATATTTCATTTCCGCTGAATCTGACATATTAGTGGAGCAGAAAATGTGGTCGATAAAATGACGAATACCGCCTTTAAGTAACGAGTTTATACTCTTATTGAAGTTGCTATTCAATGATTATTAGTTGGGTCGGGTTGCGTTCGTTTAGCTACTTTGCTTTATTTAGTCTCCTTGTCTGCATGTTTTCTTTACATTATTTTATTTAAAAATGCGCTTGGACAATGTTAAAAACTCAAATACATCGAAGAAAGAAATTAATAAATATAATATTAAGAAATCGGTCATAGGAGTAAAATGACAGGGAGTGGCTCGCATCTAAATTCAAAGGTATTGTAATTGCATTTTGTTTTTTTTCTTTTTATTTTTTTAAAAGAAAGAACTGTGATGATCCTATAGTATTTACAAATGCCAAAAATAAACGAATATAATATTTTTGAAGTCTTTTGTTTCAATAGTTGCGTTTATAAAGATTTACTGGGTTAACTTACAAAATTAATAGATACATGTTTTATAAAATTCAAAATTATTTATGCAAACCTTAATTTTATACGCTTTAGCTATTGCGAGTTTGCATTATTGGCTTTTATAGGTCCATTGATCAACATATGGTTTCTGCCATGCAAGGTACAATAATTACTAAGGCAGTAACAAGTGTTCATTCTCAAACTTCCACCATTCAAAACAATTTTCAAAGTAAATATTATTTAAGTCTTTGTATTATAGTTTTAGTTTATGAAAGAAATATATCATTAATCATTTGGAACTTGATTATTCAGATGAATAATAACATTTGATTGGATTATAGATGGATTAGTAGATGATTTCATCTAGTCGGTGATGAAAAATTCAATTAACAATATATTTGTATTTTTAGGTGACGCTGTACAAGACTTGTCAATAAATGATTATTTGAAGTCGGAATCGTGCTTAATAACAATGCACAAATCTAATGTAATCTCAATGCAACACGATCAAGATTGTTGTTCTTGGTTGTCCGATTTTAATAAAGCTATTTGTCAATTGACTGCCTGCACAGATTATCAACGTTTCAAACAACTTCTCATAATTTATGCAAAGTACTATCTGTTTGGCTTTATTTGAAATTAAAAATTTTAAATTTACTCCTCTATTAAATACAATTGTATTTTTACAGAAATGTAAGCAACGATGCAGCTGCATGGAATTCAAAGCTCTCTAAGTTGGCTGCATTAAAAAAACATATAAGCAATAGTCTTTTGTACTATCATTTTCATTGGTATGATTGTAAAGAGGTACGTATGATATAACAATCGATTAAATTTAGTTTAGAAAATTAAATTAAAATTAATTTGAATTTACATACATAATATTATTTCAGAGAGTTAGCGATCATTACTTTTATTTGCAAAGCATGTCAGATATTTTATTAATATATGTAAATTTGGAGTTGAGATTTTTCAAAAAAAGTTCAGCTTCGGTAAATAAATTCACAAATATGTTGCTCAATATACTTTATATATATTTAGGTAATTATAACGACAAGACAACATTTTAGACAAAATTTCACATATATTTATGCTTATATTATAATTAAAATTATTTATCCAGGTAATTCAGAAGAGCATATTTTTAAAGTCTTGTTGAAAAGTGAACTTGCAACCAAACATAATAATAAAATTTGCTCGCCAATTTTCGAGTAAGTTAATAAATTAATGACATTTAATGGCTTATTAAAATTCAATTAGTTCAAATTTATAAATTAATTTTATTACAGAAAATGTTTTTCTAATGCCCTTGTCAATAAGTCACAGCTAACTACCGTCACATTTGTGCGTTATGTACTTGCCTTGAAAATGTGGAAATTAATAAGCGATGATCAAGAAGAGATTAAAAAAATTAATAATTTTGCCTTGAAGATTATAGGCTCTACAATGCCTTCGTTATGTTTTGATAGCTTAGATTTTTTTCCTCAGCCCCCCAAAAAATGTATCAATAAAATAATCTGGTATTTACAAACCAAATCGTTTAATTTAACAACGACGATACAAAATTTTCTGGAGTATGAGGAAAATTTACATGGCTCGATAAGTTCAAGCGACACAAATAAAATTGAGGTAATATAATTCGCAATTTTTATTTCACATAATAAACTGCTACAATAATTTCATTTACAACGATGACTTTCTTATTGTATAGAAGAATAAAAGTTGTTTTCACTTACAAGTTAATGAAAACATTTCATTGGAAAATGTAAATAAATGTGCAAAACTGCACAATCAATATTTTAAAATGAAAAAGAAATTAGAGCCTGGTAAAATAACTTTCATTGATTTAACTGAGGAAGATGATCAAAAGAGCGAGGAAAAGACTATAAAAATTAAGCAAAATCTAGAATGGTTAAAAGTCATAAAGAAGAAAAAGAACGTTTTAAAATATTCAAAATATAATCATAAAGTAGAAATTGCTGATAGCACCGATAGCTATGAAAGTCCAGTTAATAAAGTAGCATTAATCAATTTACCAATATCTGATAACGAAGTTACCGAATCTTATAAGTTTGATATTGTAGATTCAAGTTGTGAAAGCTGTGATAATACGGGTAACGATTTATCCATTTTAAATAATTCTAACGACATGTTTGAAAATAGTGATATTACCAAAGATAAGAGAAATCCCAACATTGAGACAAACAGAATTTGCTCAATTACTAGTGATCTATTCGATGATTACATTTGTGATATGTTGATTAATTCCAGTTTATTAAACAATGTAGAATCAACTCATTTATCTGAAACGAAATTATTAGCTTCGGATTTAAGTACCGATTCTTCAAAAGAATTTGTACCCACCTTGCTTGATTTTAATTTAAATGGCATTGATTCGTTATCAAATGATTTCTCTTACTCAAACATTGAAGCTATAGATCCATGTCTTACGAGAAAAAATTTTAAAGAGACATGCACGTCAAGTGAAAGCGATAGGCCTTATAATTCATCATTTCGAAAAGATACTCTTTTAATGACATTCAGAGATAACAAAAATCAGCTTTTAACCGAATTGACTGATTTTGGATTATATGAAGTTGATGATAAGGATTCGTCAATTCTTAATGATGAAACATTGATAACATCCACTGATATATCCTCCAATCCATTTATTTTAGAATTAAATTCCGATATTGCCATAACTGATTTTTCAAAGTCATCATTGTTAGACGAATACAGTTTTATTTCTGACGGTAAAGAATATCCTTTATCGTCGATCGATATTAAGCATTGGAAAAAAAAAATATTAAAAACAAGTGGTACATCAAAGAAAGGTAAAGAGAAGATAGTATTACAGGAAAGTCTTAACGAAGATTTGGAAGGTTTCAAGATACCGCAAGAAAAAAAGAAGAATAAATTGCGACACAGAAGAAAAAGATCGGCTGCAGCATTGAAGATAAAGGAACCCCCAGCACAGAAGATGAAAATACCCGAATTGCTCATATTGGATGATGAATCTGAAAGTATTTCTTGGTTAAATGAAAGTAAATTAGAAGGTATATATGTGTTGTTAATAATTAAATCTTTTTTCTCAATTGGTAATGTACAAATATTTTTTAATGTACAAATATTATTATGTTACTTGGGTTTATTTGATAAATATTATTGATAAATGATTTTCACTTTTGGAAATATAAAAATTTGATATGAAACAATCATTACATCACTGAAGATAAAATAATGTTTGACAAACGATGGGAAAAAAAAAATGATTGGAATGTAAATTTTAACTTCGTATTTATTTATTTTTTATTTTAATACAAATAAGACGCGTGAAAGTGAAAAAATCTTTGGAAGAGCAACGAAAATGGTAGTGTATTTCTAAATTTTGTAATTATACTGAGAATATGTAATACAAAACATCATGTTAATTGTATCATTGTAGAAAAGAACGATTATTAACAGATTGCATTTATTATTAACAGATGACATACTTAGTACAACAAATGTACCGGCCAAAGAATCTAGTGACAAGTTAACTTCGAAGTTCCTAAAGCAGAAAATTTCTAGTTTTCAAAATCTTGCCGACTGTATAAAAAATAACAACGTTAATAAAATAATTACTCTATTTGATTCTGGTAGTTCAATTTGTAAGTTTTATTTGAGATAATTTGAATTCTTTAACAAATCTAAGGCTCGTATAAATTTCTTGTAAAAATCTTTTATTTGATTTTAGTGAAAAAATTGACATCCAAACAAATGAAACCATCATCCAGTCATTACTTTATTCGTTTACTCAATGAAAAAGGATTTTTATTGCGTCATTATACAGAAGATAAAGGAGAACTTGAGAGACTAGCGGGAATTACACCTGAAAAATGCGTTGCTTTACTAGAAAAAGGTTACTTAAAAATGATTATAATCACATCGTAATTATAATTTAACATCTCATAATTATGTGCCTCTTTGCAGATGTTGTGCCAGAATCACTTTATTTTCAAGTAAACTATGATTTTTCACAAGCTAATCTTCTAATTTTTTTCATCAATAACTTATCGTCTATCTCAAAATGGTAACTATAATCATTTAAATTTTGATTACTATATTCCCGTTTTATTATATTGCGTAATTTTTTAATAATAGGCTAAATGAAAAATGCCCCAGACTATTTATTATCCAAGAAACGACTGTGGAAATAGAAAGTATGTTTATAGCAGATTATTTAAATCTTATTCCAAAACCTTCTAAGGATTTACAATTTGATAGCAATATAAAACTCGAAGTTATTCGAGCTGAAACACATGATAAAGGTTGTCAGTTACTCGCTGAGAAACTTGGGTGGAGTGTAAGTGTTTATTGAATACCATTAACTACTTTTATTACAATAAAAATAAGACATTTACAGTTGTAAAATGTTGAAAAAAAAAAAAAAAAAAAAAATTTTATTGAGAAACTATTAATATCTATTCCAGAAGGAACTGAAGAAATATGACATGTAAATCAATGAAAGACGTACGTATAAATAAACAATAGTACAAACTTACTGATATAATGAAACACTCAGTTAAGTGTTCATTTTGTAAATATTATTAGCAATATTATGAATTTTTTATAATTTCTTTATTTATTCGCGAGATATAGATAACAAAACCATTATATAAAAAACATACATACATAAAAAAAGTAACTGAGTGCCAAGGATTATAAATACAAAAATAAATAATAGCCATAAAATAAAATAGTCATTAATACAAATATATAATTCTTGTAACTCGCGAATAATGTATTTTCCTTGAAAACTTAGGTACAAACAAGATACGCTTGATTACACTTATTTATTTATACACGTATATGATAATAAATTATAATGCAAGTTAACGATGTAGGCATTATAATTACGTATGCGTCTATATACACAGAGTATGTAAAATTTACAAACCATAAGACAGTACATACGTATGTGTACATTATTTAACTTAATCTCTCGTTCTTCCACGATCAAAAGGGGAAGCTTGTAGTCAAATTTTGAGTGCCTACAATTTTTGGGCAAACTTTTTTATAATACGAAGTTACGTATACAAGTTCTGTCAACTGATATGTTATTGTTAAAATGCATAGGCAGTTTCAACAATGTGTTTATAAGTCAGATTTTTATCATTTAGTATCTTTTTTTTTTTTTTTTTTTTTTTTTTTTTTTTTTTTTACGAGAAAAATTAATTAATTAGAAAAATTTTAGAACATTATTCTATACATTATGTTAGAATCTGCGCATGTATACATTAATAAATTGTTTCTAATTTGAAAATATCATAATTCTACAAAATGTTAAGAAAAAAATATCAACTACATTATAAAATATTAAGTTAAAAATTATTATATTTTTCTTCTCATGACTTTTACTGTAATAATACATATAATACAAATTTGCTTAAAACTTTCTACATACATATTGCATATTATATTACATATGCATATTATAATACATATTAGCATATTACATGTTTCACTTTCTTAATAATTATATTTAAATATTTTATCAATTAGTCAGCAATTGGTACCGCAGCAAAAGATAATATTTTACGTTATTTTCAATACGGCACATTAATTCATTACTATATCCATTCGAAGTACAATATTTTAATTATGATTGATCTATCACCATAATCAATTATTTTTATTGTCCGATAAATTATTTTATTAAAAAAACTTTGAATTTCATTCCGTTTTTAAAAAGATACGTATATTTTTATATGTAATTTGATAAAGTTAAAGAAAATGTCCTAAAAATTGCAGTAAAAAGTAATACAATGGATGAATTATACAATTTATGAATTGAAAATGTTTCAATTCTTGACTATGGGCTTCCAACAAAACAACGTCATCGTAGATTTTTTGTAATATTGTAGAGCACCAAGATATATTATAATGTAATTTATGAAATTCACTTAGTTTATTAAGCAGTATATCTATACTTATAAGATAATTAAATAATACGAGCGACTATTCACTCTAAGAAAAAATATAAACAACCGTTTGCAAAAAAAAAAAAAAAAACTTTTATTCATATGGCGTTGCGTACAACTTTCTTGGTACAACGATTAGTCTATCGAGGATTGCATTAGCAGCCGACAGACATTTATATTTAGGAATGGGAAAATATGCATATAAGGGATTATTATTCTAAAATTTTGAAGGATTTAGATAAAATTATAAAGCTTGTTTCAACATCATGTAAAAGTTGAGAAAGAAAATCTTGAGATAATCGGTTAAGCGTAGTCGGATTTAGACAAGAACTCGTTTCTTCTTTCTTAAGTATGTGATAAATTGCAACTTAAAAAAGATGTTAAATGTTAAAAGAAAGCTAGCTAATGGAAATTGTATGAATACGGGACATATATAGAAAGTTAGAAATTGCAATTTCCGAAGAAAGAGAAAAAAGACAATCATTCAAACAACAATAGTAGTTTCTGTTATAAAAATTTGTTAAAATTTATATTAATGATCGGTGCCTTTTCTAATAATTAGATTGTAAAAAAATATTTATAGGTCATGCAGTATAAAAGACCAGATAAATGAAGTCTTATGCGCCAGTTATTTTTGTTAATTTTCTTTGCAATTATGTAAATTTTACCTCAAAAATATTGTATATGTATTTAAATAGTTTTTACCTTTACCGTAAAAACATTATATTCATCGTTGTTAAATTTAATTATAAAAGTTTTACGATTTTTTTTATTTTTTTATATTCTTTAAAAAAAAAAAAAAAAAAAAAAAAAAAAAAAAAAAAATTAAATATTTTCGGGACTTTATATTTTACTTGAGCTGTTGATGTGTAACAGCATTAAATGTAAATAATAATAAGTCATTTGTGGTACAAAGTGAGCCTTACTTAAGGGATAATATGACTAAACTTTTCAAAAAAGTTTTTAGTTTAAATAAACCTCAAAATATATAAATATGGTCCAATCCATTAGAAGAATTTTATTTTACCATACATTATTTATAAAAAAAATATGGAGCATTTTTTCTTATTACTTAATGTATATGTTATAATCAATTAAGCCAAGATTTCATTTATGCGAAAAATATTTGTAATTTTTTTTAAAACAACAAATTTTTCAATCGTTTTAATCGTTTTAAAATTATTCTACATATTATATATGTGCTTATTGAATGTAGCATTTTAATTGCCAAACTTGCCTATGATAAATTGATGTATATGTATTATTTTTCTTTAGGGTTCTTTAGGCTGGCGTTATCCCTTTAAAAGCATTGCATTACATTTGTTGTATATGACAAAAATATTTTTTATGGATATTATCTATGAAATCATGTATTTAAATATTTATTTTTTGTAACATAAGTAACAAACTGATACGATTAAAAAAGCAGTATTTTTAAATTCGATATAAGCTTTATTTAATATATGCGTAAGCTTCGCATTGGTTAGATTTATGTATTAAATCACGTTTATAAATATTTTATTTACAAATTTATAATTCTTGATTTATAATTCGTGTAAAGTGACAATCTTATATAATTTAAAAGTATTTTGCATGCATTTATTTAAAGTTTTATAAATAAAAATGAGAAAGGCTCACTTTAATATATTATCCTTTATATTAATTTTAATTTACGAATGAACATAAAAAAAAAAGTTTAGTGCAAAAACTTATACAATATTTTTTTTAAAGCACTAATTATATTAATGCTTTATATCTTAATATGAACCACCAATATATATATATATATATATATATATATATATATATATATTTAATATAATTATCCTTCAATTGTAATGGAAAATACGGGTATATAAACACAAAATTATTTAATCATGACCTCTTCACAAAACGAATAAAATTTTCCAAAATTATATACTTATAATCATTTTATATGCTTAATCTAAATATATGTGCTTTATGTAGTTAAAATAATAAATCATTTTCAGACAATCGCCTAAATTATAAAAGATCTTTCATCTTTTTTCGTATGTACAATTTTTTGTTCATCTTATTAATTGTCGTATCCATTAATCTTCTGAGCAACATTGAATTCTCATATTTGAAGTCATTATTTATTTTTATAGAAACTCGACTCTAAACGAGTACAACTTATTAAAACTAATACTCTTTTCCGAGTGGCACTATATTATTATTTGAAAATTAACGTTTAATTATAATAAATTTACAGTTTTAGATATTTTTGTTATCAAATTTTAATACATCATACAAATAATATAAAATAAAATATAATAAGAATTTTCCTCTTCCTCATCTTCTTATAAGCATCCACTTTTAATTTTGACTAATTGAAAAATCGTAAATGACTAACAAAGAACATGTAATTATTTTAATACTAAAATAATTTTTAAAAGTACATGAAATCGTCCGAAAAATATAATCACGTGTATCTTTAATCTTGAGTGAATAGCCTCTCGAAATAATGTCTGTCGGAAGTATTAATCAAGATGTCTTTATAATTAATAAGAATGTACTTTATATCAATAATTGTTAAATTAGGTGTAGAAAAAAATTATTTATAAGAGAAGACTTGAATTAATTGTAACTTGTATCTAAATTTATACTTTAAGCGTATGATATTTATATATTTATTCTAATTATATTATGACTGTATTTATCCCATGACATGTATAAGCGCAATATTAAGCTTGAATAAAACTAAATAAAAAGTAAATAAGAAACAAGCGTACAACATTTATTTTTTAAAAATATTTATTTCGTATTCAATTTTTTTTTTCTTTAATTGAACAAAATATAAACAATTTCCCTTGTACATGATTCTATAAAAGTATTATTCACATTGCTATAATACAAATTTTTAATTAAAATACGCCAATAATTGTTTTATATTAATAAAGTACACAAAAACTTATTACAAAATAATTCAAATCGATTAGTTTCTCTAGTGCCAGCATACTTGAAAATACATTCATACTTCATAATTAAAAATATCACAATTATTTTTTAAAGTACTTATAATGTTCTCTTAAAATATAAATGTTAATATTAACAATTAATTATGACATAAAAGCATTCGCTTTGCCTCAATACCAAATTGTTACTTTATTTACAATATTATTATAGTTATCACTCATTGTAATTAATAATCATTAGTAAGATTATTTATCGCAACAAAGTGAACCACAAAATTATGTATAATTTACAACTGTTCAGTACAATAACTAATAATTTAGTCTTGTAAATTAAATACTTTAAGAAGTTTAGGATTTTAAATCATAGAGGCGGCGAATTTTGTGTACTGGCACTTGTAAATTTAACATTTTTGTACTTTTTAACACATATTCTCGCCATTAAATAATTTAAATTTAATAGGATATTCTTTAAGTAACTATTACTTCATTTTTTTTTTTTTTTTTTTTTTTTTTTTTTTTTTTTTTTAAGTAACGTATTTATTACTTTATACTATTTAAGCGTATTAATGGTGTACCTTAAAAAAAACTTCAATACGCAATGTAAAAAATCTTTATATACTTCAATTAATTTTGTTGTACCGGATACTGGATCTTTTTTCGAGATCGACATGTATTTTTATTTCATTTTTATTAAAATTAATTGCTTATTAACTATCACAAGCAGTTTTATTTAGGGTTCAATATTCTT